ATATACTAAAGATTTAATATAAAGAATAATATATAAAAGAATAAATATTGATTATATTAATCGAATTTAAGAATTTCAAAATTCAAGGATAATTTAATTAGATACTAACAAAAGCTAATTCAGAACTTGATATCTCTTTTGAATATTAAAAGTATTATCAAACTTTCTTTAAACGAGAATCGAATCTTCTTTCTTTTTATCGATCTTACAATTATAAAATTATATTGAAAAATAAAAAAAAAGAAACTTTATAATACAATTTGCTTTATAAAATATCTTTTGAACAATTAGAAATCGATAAAGAGTATATTATAGATAACCTCAATAAAGAATTTATCGAATTTAATTAGATTCTCTTTATTGTTTTTATTTTATTTATCAAAAAGCTCAATAGAAATCTAAAATTCTATATAGATTTCGAATTATTGAATTTAATAATATATAAGAATCAATATTCTTTATTCTTAATTAATAAAATACTAATTCAACTTTCTAATATAAAGATTTATATCAAACTTAATATTTATCAAGATTTTTATTATATATAAATAAATTCTATTTCGAAAAAGTATATTATCTTTTGAACTTGTTATAGATTATACAAATACAAAATTATACCTTTCGGATTAATAAACAAACTTATAATTTATCAATATTAATATCGATTTGAATATAATAACTCTTTGATTCGATTCAATCAATTATATTATTATAATAAACAAATCTAACAATAACTTATTAATATTAAAAATACAAATTATCAAAAATTATAAATATGTATCTTTTCAAAATAATCTTTTATTCTATAATAATCATTTGATAATATCCAATATCGATAATTTACAAATCTATTTGATTTATAAAATCTACAATTTTATCTCTATTATTCATTCTAATATAAACAAAATCTATCTTTTATTATTTCAATAATACTATTGATTTAAAATATATAATATTATAATCAAATATATATATAATTATCATTTTTATAAATATAATATTGTTTTATATAATTATATTCTTAATTTATTATATTCATTTTCGATTCCTAATTGAATATAATAATATATCATTATAGATTATTACAACTTTAATAAAAATAAAAATAAATATAATAATATCTTAATCATTATTAATTAATTAATCAAACAAATGATTTTCATTCTTTATTACAAATCAATTAATATTTGAAATTAAATCAAACTTTATTTTTATTATATATATAAATATTATAATCTTTTTAAGATTATAATATTTAATTATAGACCTCAATTCATATTCCAATTTTGAAAAGAATTCTATCAAATATTCAATTATTTATCATCCTCAAACAAATAATTAAATTAAAATATACAATCAATATCTTTAATAACACTTAAGATTATTTATTAATTATTATCAAAATGATTAATTAGAATTCTTATTTAAAATAAATTATATACAATTCATTCTTTTATATAATTCTTTAAAAGAATTCATATCTTACAAAACCCTATACAAATATATTGTAATGATCTGGTCGAGGCAGCGGCTGCCTGAGGTTTCGTTTAGTTGGTGGTTGTGGGTTAAGACTATTAATCACTGGTTATCTATTTGAAAGTGAATTCATTATTAGATCAATTAGAATGTAGATAAACTAATTGATAATTAAATTGAATACAAAGCTCTTAAACTATGAAACTTATTCTGACTATATATTAGATTCTTCCAAAAGCTTTAAAAAACCTACATTTCTAAAAGCTTCAAAGAGTTTAAGGGAGCCTATACTCTTAAAGGCTTTATTATATGATTTCTATCCTTTTCTACTATAATCACCCTAGAATAATCCCCTCTTTAAGATAATTGATATTCTAAGGAAATTATTCTAAAATAAATATCCTAAGATAATCTTTATTCTAATCTATTTCGTAAAGTTAGAACATTTATCCTATTACATTATAGTTACCTAGAATACTAATTCTAGAATTCTTAAATTCCTAATCATAACAATAAAAAACCTCTCTATAATCGGCGGTTAAATCACTGACATTTACAATATCACTATAATCTTAAATATAAGTGATTTGTAACATATATACTATAATATATATAAAAATAAAAAGATAATACTAATAAATCAAAATATCAAAATTTATAAACATTTATTAATATAAAATCGATTTCGATATCAAAGATTATATATAATTTAATATAAAAAACTATCCTATTCAAAAACTATCTAGGAAATTAAATTTCTTTATTTAAAGAAGATTCAAGATTATTAATTATATTAATAATTCTTTCAAACTCGAATTTCCGATTATAATAAAAATCTATACTATTTTTTCTTCAAATCGATTATACAAAATATACAATAATTTTTTTCCTAATTAAATATTCAAATCATTATTATCTATTAATATCATTAATAATTCAGAATAGAAAATGAAAAAGATCTTAATAATAAAAAAATCACAAAACATCTTACTATATAAAGTTTTATAATTTAATAACAATATTGATCTTATCTAATACCTTATCTTTAATCTTAAAACATTACTATATTTATTATACGATTTCTATCTAATTAATCCAATATAATTTGATCCCTTTAATTGATTGTTTAATTAAATAAAACAAAAAGAATAATTATAATTATATAAATAATAATATCTATATAAAATCAAAAAAGAAAAAGTTATTTTTTAATTCAACAAATTAATTGTTATAATTTGTAAAAATATATATATATATAATTACAAGAATATCTAAAACTTATATAAATTCAAAAGAATTTAATTATATATATATAAAAGCTCAAATTTTAAAAATAAATAAATTACATTTATACAATAACAAAAATAATATACTCAAAAATTATACTTATTATCATTTCAAATTAATACAAAAAAAAAGATTTAACTCTATTCTCTTATTACTGAAACTCTTTCTTCCCGAAGGGTTCTTAAAGATCGATTTGATCAATTAAAATACTTATCAATATAATCGATCAAACCACTCAAAATTAACTAATTCGATCGATCTAGGATTAATAAACCTTTTAAACTCTCCTTTTAATAAATTGAAAAAGTCAATTTAATCAATTTGATTGACCTGATTGATTTAATCAATCTGATCAATTTGATTGATTTGATTAATTTAATCAATTCAACAATCACTTACCAATACAATTGATTAAATCAATCAAAAACAACTAATCTAATCGATCTAGAACTTGTAAACCTATTGGACTCTGATTTCCGATAATAATCGATGAAATAAAGAAATAAAAAAGCTCAAAGACAAGCTTTTCTGAAGAAAAAAGTAATATTATAAATCTTGTATAAAGGATAATTATATAATTTCAATTAATCGATAATTCCTATCAGTGAATTGATAATTTATATATACTTTTCCAAATTTACTCTTTTTAATATAACATTATAATCATTTTAAAACAAATTGTATACAATTATACAATTATTATATAAGTATTTTATATATATATAAAGATACTCTCTATAAATTATAATTCTTCAATTATAAATTCTAAGAAATATAATTGATTTTATTTATTCAACTCTTATAAGGCTTTTATATATCACATTGATTTAATATAATTATTAAACTTCTTTTCCTCAATTTTACAAATCATTTATATTCTATTATGTTTTCCAATCTTGAAAATACTTTTGTTTAATTATATAACTGTTACAGGGTAACAGTCAACCTGTCCACATGAGCTTAGGCCCTATCGAAAAGCAAGGCGATTTGTATACAAATTTGTATGGTAATCGCCTCATGTAATCTCCCCACCTTTAACAAGCTCGGATATATAGTCTGATCGTAGTCACATGATGGATCATAGGATCTAAAGGATCTAGAGAATCGAATCCTAGATCCACTAGATCCAAATGATCCAATTGATACAAAGGTCTATATAGCTAGGGAAGGATTCCTTTTGTAGAGCTTTATGTTCAAAATCAATCATTTAGTATAATCTACTATTAGTTACGAATTGCAACCATTGATATTACTTTAAAGCTTCTGCTTGACGCCTAGTTATAAACCATTCGAGGATCCAGGCCACTTCCACGTGATCTAGATCGCATCCCTTGTAACAATAACCTTTCTTTAATCACTCTCTTTAAGTTTTTTAAAGATTATATCAGTTATTCTCTATTAATAATATATATATATATAAAATCTAATCTTTTTTTTGTTTGTTTTTTAAAGATAAATAATCTAAAGTAAATTATATAATATTTATAATTATATCGATATAATTTATATTGAATAATATATATTGAAATTCTAACCCTCAATATATATTTCATTTACTCAAAAATCATTCTTTTTTTTTTTTAATCTTTTATTAATTCTCTTATAATTTGTTAAATCTCTTTAATTATTATTATAAAGGATTGATATACCTTTTCTTTATGAATAATTCTAAATAAATTCGATTTAATGATATCCCTTATAATGCTTCGAGGTATACTTAAATTTTGCTCGATCCAAAATTACAATTTCCTATCCCTTCTAGCCTGAAAGATTCTAACTCTACAAAGGGTACTTCAATTTTGATGAAATTTATGATCATCATTTTCATTTCGAATATCAACTTCCATTTTGAATTTGAATAGGAAATACTGAAAATTGGAATTTTAATGAATTATTTATAATTAAGGATTGGAAATAAGGTAACGGATATTTCTTGGTAAAATATACGGTTAGAAGTTTCCAGAACTCTTATGTCGTGGTTTTGTAACAGTGATTTGATATTTCGAACTTGGGTTCTTGGGCACAATTGATGTGTAATTGTGGAATGTGACGGATGCAAAGACTAGCTACTTCAAGTGAAAATGAATTGCATGGTTAACTAGCCTTGTGCTGCGTCTCATCATCTATTCAACTTTATTGTGATTTTCTTATCTTTCAAAATGCTTCATTCATGTGAATTTACGGTACAAATAACGACAAGTGTCAATTCTTAAACCCTAATACAACATGTATATCAAATCTCACATAGCATCCACTCTCGATATCTCGCTCTGCCTCTGCCTCTAACCTATCGAGCTCATCATTTGATAAGGACCCATGGGCGGTTCGTGATAAAAGCAGCCACGACTAACTAAATATAGCCTGCACCGCGTTCCTTGTGAGAGGAGTTCTCGTATCTACAACTCGATCCGAGCTTACGATATCTTCCTCTACTTTTACAAGTCCTTTGTTCTGGAAAATCTGGGACAACATCTTCCAGCCATATGAGAACTTATCTTTAAGGCCAATCCTGAAGCGAGGACCCCATCAATCGCGCTGTATGTACGGAGGATTGTATGCCACCACGTAGATGCTGGACATCTGCCCAGTTGCATTCTTCCCATTGAATGGCAACCCCCTGGTTTGAGCAACTGGATGATGTTGTGCACTACCAATTCCCATTCTGTCGGTGCAATATCTGCAGCTATGAGACGGAGATGGAAAAGATCATATTTGCTCTGTTTGGACAGTGGAATGGGTTGCTTGATATCCATAATGCCTAGGTGAACATTGAATGGTAGTGTTTCTGCTATAGGAAATAGCGCAGGGGATATGTCAAAGCCATAAAAAACTGCATCCGGATAGATTAGATAGCATGCAGTCGAAATAATAGCGGCAATATAGCTTGCCATGTTGACACCGCCGTACCAAAGCTCCACGGCTATGACAGTAATGGTGAGAAGTACATGTACGGAGAGAAGAGTAGATGCCACGCCTTGTGAATGAATATGAGGTTGTGGGCTACAAAGAAACTCATGAGCTAATTGAGACATTTGGTACATTGTACATCATTACATATTGCGAGGATGGCCAAAAACTAATTACTTCTGTTTTTCCACTTGCTACCCTCTTCATTTTCCTGGACCTTGAAGTTATTAGTGCGGCTAGTCTGCCCCTTCATACACAGCTTGAATTCAATGGCTATACATATACCCTTTGCCGCTGTCTTCCCGGATACGACTGCTGGTGCTGTTGCGATCTGGACGCAGCATTTGAAAAGTATCGAAGTATTAGTCTACCAATCGCAGTACTAAACCGGAAAGGCGGTCAAATTCGGCGCAGATGTTAGCGTTATGGAGGCTTTAACTGCTGCGAATGCCCAAAAATTGGTCATTGTTGGAGGAAACGACCGAACTGTTGGTTTCGCTGGTGGATATTCTCAAGGCGGTGGGCATGGGCAATTAGTGTCTAGATATGGCCTCGCAGCAGATCAGGTCCTCGAGTGAGAAGTTATCACTGGTAATGGTGATTTTGTAATCGCTCCTCCGGTGGAGAATGAATATTTATATTGAACTCTTTCCTGGGGCGGCGGAGGAACTTATGGAGCAGTTCTATCTATGAAAAGCAGGGCACACCGAGATGAACGAATTGCAGCCGCAAATCTCACTTTCACTAATGCAGGAATATTACAAGATGCATTCTTCAAAGTGGTTGAGACATCCATCCGAACGCTTCCTACTTTAGTTGATGCAGGAGGTGTTAGCGTGTGGCTGATGATAAACTCGTCTTTTGCATTGGCACCTGCTTCGGGGGTTGGGCTAGCTAAGTCGGAATTAGATGAAATCATGCGCCCTACTATCATGAAGCTGGGAGAGAATCATGTTACCCACAGTATGTTGCTACCTCTATACTGGCTATGAACGCATGACTAACAATCTCTTCAAGACATATTTTGTCGATGAGTTTCCTACATTTTTGTGCGCCTTCAAAGTAATGAATTCCCCAAATCCCTCCAATCATATTCAGATTGGGGACGTTTTATTCCACGCTCTCTGATGGAATCAAGCAATGGCAGCTAAAAGTTAATGGCGGCAATACGGGATATATCTAATAAGGTGGGAGCTATATCAGGATAGCTCTAAATGCTTCTGTAAAGACAGTATTAGGGTTTAAAGGGGAGGATTTAGGAGGTCACCGGAGGGTGTCGGGGTGATTGGGAAGGTTGGATGGGGACTTAAGATGACAGATTTGGTGGGTTGGAAGAAGTGGGTTGGACAAGGCAACACAATGAATGCTATTGAAAGATGGATGTTTTAATCTCTTGAAGTTTTAAATGAACAATAATAGACATATGTCAACCTTTACATCCTGTAAACTGATAGCACTTCAAACCAAGTTCCACTGCAAACAACAGGAGTTCAGATCTCTTGGGTGATGATAATGTCGACAGATGAGTTCATCTATTGAAGCTACATCTTGTCGGATGGTACTAGAGTCCAAATCGTTCACATTACACAGGGCTCTTTTATCATCCTGTCTATCTATCCAGACCGCAGGTGCTCGAATGTTCGTCCTTAGTATTAGAATCCCCAGAGCATGTGTACGTAATGTTATGTCATTATTGGTATCACTCACGAGTAGCTTGGACAATTTTCATATAGCTTATGTACCGCTCAATGAAGTCAAAGAGTGACTCAGGTCAATTAAAATAAATGATAACTAGTACAGAATTCAGAAATTCATTGCCCTCATTCTGAATTATTTCATGATCTGCTGACACATAGAACCCAATTTCAAACGATAGCAAGTGACATCCGCGATGATTCATTAAAGACAGTCCATGCTACACATATATCATCCATGTGATTCAGAGACCGACATATGTATAGAGCTTCACTACCCTCGCTTAGGAAATAGATCAGAAAAAGACTTCATAAAAGAAGTAGCATTGACGACCAACTCCTGCGCCTTCAGCATCTTCTCCATATCCTTCTGAACTTCCAGTTCGAGAAGAGTAGTAACCGGCGAAGCCTCGTAAGCCACACTCTGCCCGTTCATCAAACTCGCAACATAGGGTAAAATATTGTCGTTATACTAAACAACATTAGTATCTGAATGGAAGCTATGAAATCCAAAGCAAGAGCTACTCACAGCCATCCAGCTAATCTTTCGTTTACCGTCTGCATCAAAAGCATCTCTGAAACCCCACGGAATCTCAGCATTAGATAATCCCGCTCGATCAACATACATATTCCAATTATGGTACAACTCGAAGGTATCCTCTTGAGATGGTAATTCCTTGAATCCACTTTCTTGCATTTTGGCCAGAGCGGTCGCTGCTAGTATCTCCGGGAATGTATGATCACGACCACATCGCGGAGGCGTCATAACCTGTCCATTTTTGGCTTGTGCGAAGGCTAGGTCTCCTAGTTCAAGTATTTGAAGTATTTGAGCGATGTGCGTTGAAGTGTTCGGCGTGAAACTCCATTGACTCCTGCTGGGGTCGGGTGGCATGTTCTCATGAGACTAGATGCGGGGCTTAGGATCACCATAATCCAGGAAAGATTTTGTTTTGCCTGAACTGTCGTGGGTGTTTGGATTATCTTCAGTCAATGGTCCTGGATATCTGAATATTCTTGGTGCCGGACGGAAATCGAGATCGTTTGACCCTTCTGTTGGTACGCCATAATATGCGTTATGTTGTTTCCACCAGCTGCTGCGCTCTGGAACGGGGTCTGTCATCGGTGTTGCTGCTCAAGGACGTAAGCGTTATAAATCTTTATGGATCTAACGAGGGCTGCTGGTGACATACACATCATGATTGACAGATTACGTGTGAACAATATCAAATGCAAGAGGTTGGAATGTCAATTAGAATTTGTTGTGCAGAAGATAATTGAGCAGTTGATTCAATCCGGCTGGGCATGAACTTTGATTTATACGCGGGAAGAGCATTCCAGAGCATGGTAGAGAAATTATGTGGCGGAAGCAGAAGGATACTGTAAGCCTATGTCATGATGTAGGAGGTTTCATGGTGTGTCCGACGAGAACTAAAGCATGGTTATTTCTTCAGCTTCCAAATGCATTCATTTGTACCATTATAATAATCGGTTGCCGAAAGTGACGAGGAAAGGGGCGGGGTCTGCCAGCCAACTTCCCTAATTGTAAAAACCTGCAGCTCAGCCTATTGGCATCCTAAAAATTATAGTGTACAATTGGCCAATGCCCACATGAAACTTACTTGTGCACATATATATTGCGTATGAGGCAATATATCTTCCCTCGTAGATGACATCAATGCTAAACAGCTTCCTATTTAGGAAACACGATCGTGAAAGTTGAAGAAAGATTTCCATTTCCCCTTCCAGATTGACATCATCCAGCAATCTAGAACTTATCAGGCTGCGAGATGACAAGCATCCTAGAAATGCGAATAACAACTTCGAAGCTTCCGGGATTTCTCCTCGGGACAGAACAAGTTTGATGGTGTTAGATCGACACCTCAAGCAGCGAAATACATGGGTGAAATTTTGCAAATGTAAAAACATTGCGATAAATTATTGTGAGGCATTTCCATGTACTCTGGTCTGCGGGTTCGTGCTTCATGTTGCTTGATAGCTACTCATTTGTGCCACTATCGACGTATACCTTTCGACACATAGCCATCTTGTCATTGACAAGAACTTCAATCGCCTTATTTTATCTTCTCTATCTGCAATTTCGTTACTCGTGCTTGTATCGGTTATGGCAGAAAGTCGACGTCGACCAAAATGTTTGATGTTTCGAATCGTCGTTGCGCAGAGATTTCGAATTGTGACTTTTGTTACTCAAGCTGGTCGGCGAGCCGTAGCAAGTTCCTCGCATCAACGGATGCCAACTCCAAAGAGTCACCACAATCTCCGAATATGTCCGACTCTGTCATCACTTGACACATAAAAAACTTATTTTGTTTTGGAGGAGATTTTCCGATTCATTGCGCCCTTGTATCGATGGAAAAGGGTGTAAAATGTCTGGAGCTTGTAGATTCATCAAAACTCCACTGTATATACAAATCGCCCTTGTGGTAGTTGATAATAAGTATAAGTTAATATTGAGGGTCTAACCCATTTGGGACCACTAGATCACAAATTATTGTTCCTGAACTCTAACGCACAACAAATCAAAACGTACAACTTCATGCCTCCAATCGTCCATTCTTCATGCTGGATTATAGCTTGTAGCACGGAGTTGTGTGAACAGGGTATCATTTATCCTAAAGCTAACGCTAAAAAAAATTAAAGGGGCTTTTTATCCTATCATAAGTTGTGGTTCATGCCTCGTTTCGCTTTCTTCACCTGTCGTCACCAGCCACTTACCCTTCCTGATCTTCATCACAAAACACACGTTCCTCATCTTTTATATTTATGCAATGATAAGCTGCAAACTCAAGTTAGCCTTGACACTCGACAAGGAATAGAAAATGATGCATACCTCGATAAGCTTATCAGTCAAAGCAGTACACTCTCTAGCGACCTCATGATGGCCTTGGTAGGTCGAATTCTTCCACAAACCTTCAAAGCCTATGCTACTCAATACTCTATCCAACGCATCGGTGTTTTCCATCGCGGCCGAGAATTGAGGATTTGATGTAATGGTACGTAACAATTGATGTGCAGATTCGAGCGTTGTCGAATTCTGGCAAGATATAAGAACATCATCTAGTATGTTCGTGATTGGGCCGGAGCTTCATAAAGTTAGTATTGATCTTGATGTGGCAGGGCATGACAGGATGACTTACAGGCGTAGCATGACGTTTGATGATGATACGGCAAGCTTATTGAGCCATTGCAATGCGCGATTTTGGATGATATCATCTAAATAGTGAAAGTCGACTAAGCCAATGGCGCAAGTAAGGAGCAATTCTCTCTCGTTGAGACCTGCAATTTGTGTTATACTGTCCATATCTGACTCTGAATATGGGGTGTGTTCTCCTTGGGTAGCAGTAGCAAGCCATAAACTATGCCCTGCATCTTCTGGATTGAGCGCTCGGGCCAGTAGAAGACCAAGATATGGTATGCAACTAATATCTCGTGGAAACGAGATTCCATCAGGCGCATTAGTGATGGTCGTGTCGAGGAATGTTGATATTACACGCATAGCAGTAGATCTCGTCAACGAATCCGTCATACCTTTTACCATGCAAGCAGAAATGGCGAAATGGAAGTTCTCTGCAGTGAAATGAATCCCATATATTTCATCCAGTTGTATTGCCGCTTCATCAAGTGGCGCTCGACCTTGCAATAATGTTGAGATCATGCGCCCATTGCTGAGTTCACCAGAAGCTCCAATGTTGAGTAGGACGGCATCTAGGAACATCGCCGCGCAATTGAAAAGTCCAATTGGTACCAAGCGCACAAGAGATAACGCAAGCCAGAATAGTTGGGTTCCATAACGTGATGCCGAGGGTAGTTTGTTCATCATTTTGGTTAGAGCTGTGACTATAGCAACCATCATTTCACTGTCGCTATCTTCCATATATCGACCGATGCTGCTTCTAAGTGCTACCAGCACTTGATAAAGTAGGTCGTCATCGACATCTTCCCGAGCCAAACAGCCCATAACAGTAAACGCCCTGGGTTGTATTGCTGGATTACTCTGGAAAGCAGTGCTTGCCACCAAACTCATCCACCTGGCACGCCACGCGTTTGACAAATCAACCGTTGGAGCCGCTACAATACTTATATCAGAGAGAAGGCCAGCAAGAGACTCCGTGGCTAATAATGCTGAGGGTCCCGAGTCTTGTGATGAAGGAAGAGAAGCACCGTCTCTTGATAGTATGCTGAACGGAGACTCTTGACGAGGCTCCGATATTGACGATAGCATAACCTTCAATCTAGCAAGCTTGCTTTCTTCCAATACAAATGTGGTGCACATAGCATGGATAGTATTGACAAGTAAGCGATGAACAATTAATCTCAAGTCAGACGAGCCTGTATTAGCCAGCATGGTGACAAGATGGAATACTTCAGGGAGATATAACTGCGACTGGACACCGCTATCGAACGAAACAGACAAGGTGAGTCTTAAAAGAACACAAATCTCACCCCAAACTGTGTTTTCATGAAGATGCCTTGTTGGTCGGAGTGAGGTACGATTGAGAGCCTTTCGAAGCCTCGAGATTAGTTTTCCACGTATCGTAATTGTATCGAGTGAGGCAAGAATGGAACCCAGAATCTCTGTCCGCTCATCATCGATGCCAAAACTAAGGGCTGGTTTGAGGATCTCCTCTAGGAATATATCCATATACACTTCGTCCTTGCAAATTGCTGGCCAGATGCTTTGTTCCAGGGTAATGCTAAGAACAACGTCAGATATGGCGACTTCAATAAGCTTTCTGAAGATAACAGCGACTTTGTCTCTTCCCTTATCGCCATCAGCTTCATTGGGTATCAGATGAGTTCTCAAACTGGGTAGCCAAGGCGCCATATACGCTAAGCTTAAGGGCCTCTGCGAGTATGGAAAACTTTCCCATCCAACGAAAAATTCATTGAGAAAGTCCCCTGTGAGCTGAGGCTCTGAGCGAGCCAATTGCGCACTAATTCCAACAATAAATTGTGACGGGTTCAAAGGAACACATAATTCTGGAGTCCATTAGCAACAATCCACATTCTGGGAGCAGTATCTTATACCCTTTGTACTCATGAATTTGGAATCAGCTGCGAACTTAAACGCTCGGCAAAGAGCACACAACAAATTGTAGGAGGCAAGCCGCAGAACCGCGTTAGGGCTCGCCATATTAGTGAGGGCAATGTTGAGGAGTGTTCCTGGTACATCTTGCGGTCTGACCAATCTCTCAATTGACTTCAAGGTCCTCAATTCTTTTCCATGCTTAGTCTTAGCACTGCGAATAGCTTGTAAAATATCGCCCTTTCTCGGACTAGTGAAGTACATTACGATCTTGCCGTTGTCAGTTCGTAAACCAAATGCAGAGTCATCTTCGGTCTGTATTGAGGTAGGGGCCTCATCGACCTCTGCTAAGCGGAAGATATCGTTCACTGTAGCATGTAGTCTAAGGCCTGGAACAACTTCTTGTTTCTTCGTTGTTGTCACTTGAACAAATTGATTACCAATTTTGATTATCACTTCTACCTTGCCTTTCGTTTTAGACAACCTTATTATAGGTTGAAAAACGTATCTCGTGTCTGTGACAACGCTTATAGTCTCTTTGGGTAGGTGAAGCTGTGTGAGATGAAAATGGGATTGCAAGTCTTGAAGACTACCAATCAGGTGATAATCAACGTTCTTCGGGTGAAAGGCGCTATTTTCACTCTTTGCAGATAGTCGAAGAATGCGTCGAAAACATTTCCTATGCCTCTGTTAGCACCACTTCTCTCCAGACCCATTTGATACTCACCTAAATGCACTATTCATGTTGTAGACATATACCCTAGACAGTTGCTTTGAGAGCTCTGATGGCGTAAGCAAATCAAGCCTTCGGAAAAGTGCATCCTGAGGCTCGTTTTGACCATTATAACAGGTTGCGTCGATTAAGATACCAAACGGCTTATGCCACATGCGGCTTGCAATCTGGAAGATATCAGCAAAGGAAGGCGTTAGAATGTAGCGACTCTTACTAACCTTCAAGTACACATATAACAAGAGATCATAATCCGTTCCTTCTGTATCGATGTTTCGAAGTATAATACAAATCATCGAAAGTCCATCCTATTGGTATAAGCTGAAGAAAGCATTTAACATGATAATATTTGCCTACCTTGCTTTCACCACCATCATATACGGCCCTATTTGATACTACAGCTTCTGAACTTCGACCAGCATTTCTAAGCATGAAATGCTGGAAGCGTGAATACGAAGGTGGTGTATTTTGTGAAATCGCTGGCCTATTCCACGACACATCCATTGGTGGTGGTCCGAGATTAGAGATGAGTGTTCGAAGGGCATCCAAAACTGGGGTATGACTCTTGGCACCATCAATAGGAGATCTCACAGATAGTTGTCGTTCACGAAGAACAAGCTTTTGTCGAACATGGTCCCAGTGATCATACAAAAACCGATGCAGAGCTACGCAAGAGCCAAAATCGAAAGACTCGGACTCGGCAAGTGTTTCCCTAACATTGGGGGGTGCCTTTTAATGTTAGCTTCCTTCTTCTACCTATAATGAATCAACATACTGATATCTCTCGTAAGAATGTCGTTACACGATATATATTTTGTGTCAAGAAATCGTTTAGAGGATACATGTAAGGCTCCTTTGCCCCGAAAAGAACGTTGTTGGCTAAATTTTGAACTACTTTTGCAATAAGGAGAAGACCCCGGCGCATTTCTTTCGACGGTGGGGACGCTATCAAGCCTTCTGCATCAGGTGCGACAATCGCTGGGCAAAAAAATCGTAGGAATATAAAGGCACCGACGGCAGTAAATTTAGCATCTGGAAACCTTCTCATCACGCAAGAAGAGATCTATAGAATGTCAATAGTGCGATAATAGCGGAGCATGAATTGACATACAATGTTGCAGATCTTTCGGAAAGATACCGGAATACGCGATGCAGAGTTGCATATATCATCGATGAAGACTTTTGTCACTACACGAAGCTGAAGAGCATTTTTCTGCAATTCCTCCGGGGAAGTTGTTCTAGCAGGATCAAGTTCAAGGTCCAGGTCTTTTGAAGTGAGAACTAGACGCTCTAAGACTTTCTGTAGCGTCGCTTTCAGATACGCAGCACCCTTCCATTTTGCATAGACTGACAGAAGCTTGGTGGCAACACAATTTCTTCTCAAAAGTTCAGCTTCATTTTCTACATGATATTAGTAATGCAAATACATCTTCAATTCCCGGGACGACTTGCCGGTCTCCTCCACTTCATGCTCGATGAGCGCTTCGAGCAGAGAAAAGCCCATTCCTCTGGAGTCGAAAATATTGAGAAGTGAAATGGTCATTTCATCCACCTCTGTGCTCGGGCATGCATCGCAAAGTGCAATTGTAAGTGTCATGTCATTAACAAGTAGCTATCAATGGCTAGTTAGTAATACATTTATTTGGATGAGACAATTGTGTCAATACTAACTTCAAGAAGTTCATCATACTTTTGATTCACAGCTGCATCAGACAAATTGTTGAATTCGGTACCCTGAATCAAAATGTTGCAAAGAACTTTGACGAAAGCTGTTCTAACCTCAAGGTCTTCATGGTAGCCAATACCCAAGGAGTGTTTGAGGCCAACATCGATATTGGCACTCAAAAGATTAGAAAGTGCAGATATTGCAAGTTCTGGACTACTCATAGAATCATCACTCACGGCAGATGTGAGCCGTACCTCATTCCTACCGATTTCGGCCGATTCGTGATTGAGAAGAGATAAAAACCTGTTGAAATATGTATGGAACATCTGTGACTTCAAGTCGCTTGTATCTGCATCGGATTGGCCTTCGGCTGGTTGCAGGGGAAGACGATATGTCAATTCTGCTAGTGCCTTCAAAGAAGCTCTATCAAGATCTTTCTGGAGGCGAACAAGCTCATCAAGGCGATTGCCTACTAGATGAATACCAGTATCGGCATTTGGGGTTCCTGGGCGCGCGATCCATCCAAAGATCACCTCCAGAAGCTGATTACGAATACGCACGTCGTGCCTTAAATTCAAGAGCTCTTTCTTCTGCGTGAGAGTTTCACATAACTGACATATCTTAATTTTGACCCTCAACGCGCTTGCCCCTTCTGCTGAACCATTCAGGAATTTCGCAAAATTGAGTGCTAAGGCACCAATATCAACTGGCATTCCTGTACCTAATTCAGCTGGGCTTCCGAGCTTCTCTACAATACTCTTCAGTAGAGCCGCTGCCTGTTCCGCAAAAACTATCCGAGATTCGACAGGGATTGCGTTGCTACGCGGACTATCGAATAAAACATCCAGTTCTGTTTGGAGAGCCTCAAACAGAGGCATGTGTAATGGTTTGGCAAGATCACTAGATAGGGCATCCCTGGTGCCTTCACGTATCCTGAAGCTGTTGCTAGCTAATAATTGAACACTTTGCCGCATATATCGATTGAGCAAGGTTTCATCGTAGCTTTCCGCAGTTACTTTATCGATCCATCGCAAACTGGCAAGTGCCTGGTCGTCTGGGGTAGAAAGAAGCGATCGGCCTGCGACACAAATGCCACCAAGAGAAGCAAGGAATCCAGAACAATTGCGCCACTCTCCCAAAGATCTTTCATCGAGAACCTCAGAGCGCGCAATAAGTTGCTTGGACAATCTAACCCACCGATCAAAGATAGTCTCCCATGCGTTGATGATGCCGGCGGTAGGATGTTGCATTTGACGCAAAAGACCTCGCGCTCGCTTTTGAAAAGCAACTATACCTGTAAATCTGAAGTCTTTCGAAGAAAGCTCTTGGTAAACTTCCATATTACGCGCACTTGCCAAGGATAGTTTGTTGAAGTCCGGTGCGGATTCAACAAGACGAATCTCTTCTGCGAATAGAGAGATGCTTGATGCAACCAGCTGGCAAACTGCTATATCAGGCGAGCAGAGTGTAACTAAAAATGATGTTTCCATCATAGAATATGCTGCTAACCGTTCCGAAACATCTTCTTCTAGCTCAGTTAAATCCTATCACATGTGAGCTGTTGCAGGCGAAGGTGATACGGCACCGGTACCGGCATTGCGTAACTGATCACACACCCCTTTGAGGGTTGATTATTCGAGCGCGAGGCATCTAAAAAAATGTTGAAATTACTTACTTTGATCTTTTTCAATAAATCGAGTCTTCCTTGCAAATAGCTATGCACGAAGGCAAGAGCATTGTGTTCATCAATAGTTTGGTTTATGATTTTGCTCGAAACTGAACTGAGTATGACGGAGCTATAGCAATGCATCAGCAAGGTCAAGCTAGATTGACTAGTAACATATGTCCAAATACTTACGTTGATTCCCAGAAGTTAAATTTCGCGATATTCGAGAATTGAAAATTATTCTTCCGCCAGGCATACATTGTTGCTGCGGCCAGTGAATCGCGGCAGACCTCACTTGACAAAATTCTAATTTTCTCATCTTCGGAGGTTAAAAAGGCCAAAAAGGCAGCGTAAATGTCCTCAAAAATGGTGTCAGCAGTCGGTGAGCCCATGTCGAGGCCAACAAACATAGCCATAGGATATACGTGCAAGAATATTAACATGCTATACACCACTTCTCCGGAAAATGCAAATTTCGTTTGTCTATTCATGGTCAAATGTTCGACGGGGTAGGAGTCTCTGAATCTCAGCGTTGTTCCCTTCTGGAGAATTAGCTACGCATCTCAAGTGTCACAAACGCGCCATACCTTCATGTAAGTGCGAATGAATTCAGACATCTTAGCAAACAACGGCTTGTAGTCATTGACATTAGATTGCTTGGCGAAGTGCGTGCATGCTCTTATTGCAGCAAGTTTGAAATCTGGAGATGTATTGGGAGCAAGACAAAACGGTGCAAGATTATCAACGCAAGTTTTAAAATTTAGATGCGCCAAACTGACAAATGCTGCTGTCATTAACCCAGAGTCTATGGTTGTGTTTTCTGCACCCACAGTATATCTCCTGAATACTGCTTCACGCACTTCTTCCTGGACATCTAAGGCATAGCTCAGAAGTGCTGAATCACTATCGAGAGGAAAATGTCTTGCAACTCGCAAAACGGAGGTCAAACAATAAATGGCCGCTTCATTCCTGTTTCTCAAAGTCTTCCTCAGCATCTCCAAAAACGATACCTTCTTGGAGATGCTGCTACTTTTGATATCTCTCATGTTGCTAGCGACTTCAAAAACGTCTGGGAGAAGGAATAACAAAGACGTTTGAAATGGAAATAATAATGTTTTTCGTCTTCCCGCATCTATCATGCTATTCGTCATATCAAAGAGAGTTTCCGCTCCACCATCTAACCTTTTGTGCATTGTGTGTAGTTCAATGAATTCTTCAGGGTTTCGCTCCAGCCATCGGGTGATTAACTGAGGTACGACTACTGCCACAATAGTCTGAAAGGCCTTGCGGAGGTGCAAGAAGCTGCCGCACAGTTCTTGTATGATAACTCCTAGTTTTCGACTATCGACCCAAAACGATGGAATCAAGCGCACGGTGACAAGTGCTTCATCGTCAACTATAGAACCGTTTTGCGCTTGGTTTCCATTTGAGGATTGGGCCGCAAGTAGTCCACGGAGGGAGCCCCGCAAATACTCCAAAGTCCGCGGCCAATTGGAGAAGGAAACAAACTCCACAACTTTCCTTATGCATGCCTCTGTGGATTCCGAATGTTCTTGTATCAATAATGTAGACTCGATTCCATTTTGTTGGTTATTTGTGCCGTTCAAGGAATCCACACCTGAGGAGTTCTGAGCAGGAGGGGCCCCAAGCACATCGTCTAGGATATTAGACGCCGGAAGCACATAGCCCTCCGGTATAGGGTTTGAGAACAACTTGATCACATCTAACAACCTCTTTGCCAAATCGTCGTCTAATGCTTCTGGGGGTTTATCGCGCGCCAAAAGTCTGTTTCTGGATGCCCTTCGTCCTTCAGGTTTTATGCTATCGTCGGACCTGTAGCCCTGAGAGAGTAGATCTTCTCGATAGCTAGCATTTTGTGAAGCATTGATGCTTTCCCAGTGGGTTGTACAGCATTCCGCTAGCAGCTCAAGCACGTAAAATTCCGAGTGTAAAACATGCAATGGATGCGCCGATATCGTTTTGTATGGCCTTGCAAGTTCTTCCAACAATTGCACAAGGGCTTCGGCGACGACCGCAATAGATGGTTTACTAATATTGACGAGGGTAGTCCGACTCAAGAGGGCAATCTCATCGCGAAGGAGATGGTGTGCATCTGCGCCAGTCCTGTGTGGGAGCTGTGTGTAAATAAACAATATGTTAGCTAACTGCGACACGTAGGGGAATGCGATTGCGACTGAGGGTTATACTTTTGTAATCAGTCTCTCCACCAAAGTAATGACTAGACTTGAGTTATCACTCATGACTTGTTGCGGGCGGCGTTGGCAACTACGCCAGACCACTCAGTGATTGTCCGACATAGGCTTCAAGCATGCGCGTTCGTCGCTCGTCGTAGAAGCTCAGTGGAGCTAGGGGTGTATAAGGATAAGGATAACCTATTTACTATTTGCCTAGACCGGAGGGGAAGAAACAGGTTCGCAGCGATTAAATTGTAGAAGCACCACGAGCATGACACTTGATTTGAGAATTTTTAGAACTAAAGGCTCGGATATTATGAGGTATATCTGAAGTAGCTTGGACTCTATTTAGTTGTAGTTTTCTCTGGTTTGGTTCCTCGGGCGCGCACCTCACACACGTGTAGTCATGGATGGACAAGTCGCTGGAGTGGAGAAAACATTGGAAATGGGACTTTTTTCCGGTTTGGTCTCGGCAACCAAAGTTAATTAACAAATGAGTGTGAGACTGGCTGTGAATGAGTGAGTAAATGCTAGTTAGTGGTCGTGTGTTTCGCACGACTTGCTCAAGAGTGATTGGAAGGATTGAAGAGGACAAATCAAAGTTCGTTATCACCAGCGTATATAATCTAAGGTTAATGATAATTCCCTACTGTGTAAGATGCCTGCCTACCTAGGAAGGCATGGAAGGCAAAAACGTACGGGGAGTATTTGCTCAATTTATCTGCTTCCGCCCTCCATTTGTAAAAGAAAATGTCTTGCATATAAGAATCATTCAAAATGGTGTTTCATGATGTTTTGTTGTATTTACATGAGACAATTTGAGGGGAGAAGCCGATTTATTACCAAGGTTTACCCTAATATCATCAGATTGAGCTTCACGAAAATTGGCTGGTTGTTACATCGGTTTATTCCTGAAGATTAAGGTGCTAATACCAGAACTCGTTGATGCATATTCCATACAATCTAAATACTTGACTACAATAAATGTGCCCCTGTTGGATAATAGTATTGGGATCATGCTAATGCTCTGCGCCGATAAAATGTTTTCAGAGCACGGCATCAACATTTGCATATAATTCCTTCGAACAATAGCCACCGCAACAAGAATTTTCTTGTTAAATCCCAATCCAATCATTATGCGCTGTTATGATGATACAAGAATGCAATATGAAACATGTGTGATGAAATAGACTCAGGCATTATATAGATATATGTTATCTTTCAATGGTAGATTCGCAGATATCGGCAGAGCCATCTATTTAACGTCGCCCACCATAGTTGTTGTAGTTGCTGTAACCACCTCCATATCCAGGGGGCGGTGGTGGAAGATACGCACCGTACGATCCAGGGGGCGGTGGAGGAGGCCCACCGTATGATCCTGGTGGGGGAGGCTGCCAGCCTGGTGGCGGTGGTGGTTGACTGTAATTGTTGTAGTTGTTCTGAGAGCCGTGAGATTGATTATTGTACCTAGGTGCTGTTGTTCCTGGACCATTGTAACGATTGCCGTTGCCGCGATTGTTATTACCAGAACCATAATTGAATTGGTTACGACCCCTTCCATCACCTTGTAATGGCACTCCGCCATAATTTCGGCCTGATCTAGACGCCCTGCTTTTTGTCATTTCGATATCGCTTTGATTAAGTGCCGGTTGGCCAAAATCAACTCCGACTAATAACATAGACTTGTGGATATGGGTAGATTTGGGCATTTCGTAATGTACACTAGATGAACTGTAAGTAAGATACGGTCAGAATGTTGATGTTTACTTACCGTATTGATCGATCTTCGTCAAGACCGGGCATAGCCCCACTCTCCAGTGGAAAAACCAAAGAGCTATAAGGGAGGTAATCCTCATTCTTCTCAACTCGTCCAGTCAAGCCTTCACTAACCTTGGGGTTTAACTTCATATGAGGTGAGCTTTGTTTCTTTGAATAGAATTTGCTAGTTATCTCGTCGTAAAGAGCATGATGGGATTCTGACACTAAAAGAACGTCTCGTCCAAGGCCATTGCGGGCTGAAACATCCACCGGCAATGTGGGGTATACCTTAGCCATTGCATCGAGCAATCGCTCCGAGTCAATGAATGGCAGTAGAGCAACACCTTGCCAGGCGAATTTCTTACCGTTCAAATCAACTATAAAATCCTCTGGATAGAAATCGATAATTTCACTGTCTTCATTGGTCATCAGATGGTGAAACTGTTCTGGAATAGCTTGTCTTGAAGCCGCTGGAAGGACTCCCATAAGTTGTTCAAATGGCCTGAAGATTCTGCCTTTCTGGAAATTGATCTTCATTTCCTTAAGATTTGCAAAATCGGCGGCGAAAGGGGCATAGTGGTACGGATAATACCAATCCCAAGACGGACATCCTTGGAAATAGTATAGCAAAACCCATGCCAATCCTTCGACATAGGCTTTACCAACCTGATGGCGAAACTCAGTGTCTTTAGGATCTCTGTTGAACTTCTGCTCATAGTATCTATCAGCGTAACCATCTTCCCACAGTCTAACGGTGTCAGGAGGAAGGTCATCTCCAGGTGTTGTCGGGGTTCCTGGTGTCCCTGGAATGGGTGTGTTACGTCCTGGCGTACTGCTGTCATCATCCTCAATGAGCTCCGCTTTACGTTTTCCCAGTGCCGTTGCTGGTAATTCCGCTGAATTGTCATCGGCTCTAGGCTCACCGTTATCATCATCAGTTGGCTTGCCATTTATCATCTCCTTTAGTGCTACGGCCGCGCTCTTGTTGGCTATACTGGCCTTGTAAGCTGCACCTCGGTTCATTACCATATCATGGGATATAGCCTTGGCTTCCCTGTTGGCCATACCAGGAGTGAAAAGTGGTAAACCGGTCGGAGCAGCTCCACCAGGAGGCTGTCTACCGTTAGATGGAGAATCCTGAGCACCGCCGTTGTTTCCACGGCCACGGCCATACCGTTCGTTTCGCTCATTGTTGAGCTTACGCTTCTTCTGGAAGTTCTCTTCTGCCTTTCTTCTTCGCCTGAAGATGGCATCTTCTTGCTTAGCTAGGCCATCAAGAATGAACTGAGCTCTTTCGAGGTCAACATGACCATCTTTAGTCAAATAACCACCCATGTAGGGAATATTATCACGCCAGATGGCAATCAAGGTATTAATACCATCCTCTCGAATCTCGAGACTAGGAAGATGAGGTAAGAAATCATTGCCGACAAAGAAACACATAAAAACCCAGTCGTCAAGAGCCCTTTCAAGATCAAATCTAAAAGGTTGGCTAGGAACATACATCTCTGCTGCTAAGTATTCACGAAGGATAGAGACGTGTAGCCAAATAAACGGTTTGAGCGTAGGGGCGCTAGCCTTTTCATCAAACTCACCATCCTTTATCTTGTACATGCCTTTGCATTCTCGGGCTTCATGGCCATGTTGGCCGCACAGTTTGCAGGTACGTGGCTTTCCATCATTAAAGAACACATCTTCTCTCAGAATACGAAAATGAGGTTCATGCGTTGCTAGACCCAGCATGATCAAGTCGGCATCTAATCCATACATGACATGTCGGGTGTTAGGATCATGATCGGGAGAAGATCTTTGGGATCTGACAAATTCCATGATTTTATGTTCACCCTCCCCTGGAACGGTTGAATCTGAGATTATGACTTTCATCTTTGCCCAAGCAGGGTCAGTGTTGAGTTTGTATGCAATCCAATATCTGAGGCTAGCGGCCAATATGTCCATGAACGGAGTACCGGGAGTGATTTCGTTAGAATCCCAGGCTTTCTTGACTTCTGTCTCTTCAACCTGGCTACCTTGTGATTTCAGCATCTTAAGCAACTCTGCCTTATCCTCCGCCTTTTCCTTTGCCTCTTGCGCGGAACGAAATCGACGGGATCGTTGTTGATTCATCTTAGCACGTGGTGCTACTCCGTCAATAGCAATCATCAACAATTTCCTAGGTCGCACCATATTAACTACTCGATCCGTGTACTTGAAGATTTCCAGCATCATTTCCTCCTCATCTTTGGGTGGAGGGCGATCTTCTGGATGACCTGGAAATTGTGTATTAGCATAATTCAAAAAATGATAAATCGACTATTTGAGGTAATGGGATGAACATACTACATGGGTGAACGATTCCATTCATGTCCAAATATAGGTTGTCGCATTCCTCCCCATTTGGATTGGGTCCTGTTATATCAATCGGGATGATTTGGCCATCGATTTCGCGCGGTTGTTCTTCAATGACAGGAGACACAATCTTGGGATATTGCTTGGTCTACATGGTCAAACAACATTGTTAGCAAAACGTAGAACGATGAAGGATGAAAATCGAAACTTACCAGCCATCTGAACAATGCTGGGACTCCCATTGTGGAGAGTTTATCTGTGATTTATTCTGGCAGATAGGTGATCAAGTAAGAGAAATGTCTTCGAAAACAAGGCACCAGGTAGAGCTGGTGAGGTTCGAACGAATGGTTCTGCGCTACTCCGATCTACTTATCAGGTTTCCAAATAGAATAAAATCGCAAGACCACTCTTGCGCGTATCCACGGTGAAAATATGAAAGATCGGATATCGCTGCGATGCGCAAAAGAACGCTTTCATGAAAGAACAAAGCTGTGAAAAGATGCAGCCGCAATTCATTGTATTGTAGGGTAGCAAACTTGGGGACGGAATTTTGATTCACCGACATAGTTTTAAGGCTAAGCAACGCTAGTCTGCATGCATGTCTGGAGAAGCTCTAAAATAAAGAGTTAAACCATGAATCTGCCAGATGTTGAAGTTAAATACACCTCGTGGTGAATAAGGTATGTATAAGAAGTGACACTATGCTATTGGGTCTCGAATTCTCAAATTATCCTTCAATGTTCAATGTACAAATAGAGACCAGAAAATCATAACGAGGAAGGGGGAACTTGGGTATTACCAAGAACACCTTTCATATCCTACTTGAGGAAATGTCAAAAGTTGGGGAGACTATTTCTGTAAGTAGACTTACATTACCTCTTTGAAGCTCCCTTGATATTCTGCACCCTCGTCTTACTGCAAGGCTAATACGGAACTCACCAGGTCTACGCTTCTCGACTTACATCCTCCACCCTTTTAGAAGATCGGCGGGCAGCATGTTTAGGCCTTCGCAGTTTTGCAAAAGACTATCCTGCATCTGTGGCATCTGAAGCTCTACGAGGACTAATTGCAAGCCTACGCAAAGATGGAGAGGACGTCGACTCCATCAAAGTCGTCCTCGAGACTCTTCTATTCCTTTTCAATCCGAACCAAAACAGTGCTGAAGCATCAGAGGAGCTTGCATATTTTATAGCCGACGAATTCACCACACGGCAAGATAATATAACATTACTTTTGGATTTTCTGGGTACCAATGATTTCTATTCCCGTCTATATTCGTTGCAACTCCTATCGGTAATTCTGTCGTCTCGGACGGAAAGAACTGAAGAATGTATATTCACGGCACCTTTGGGTATATCAAGACTAGTGGCTGTATTAGATGATCGGAGGGAGGCAATAAGAAATGAAGGGCTCTCCTTGTTGACCTACTTGACGCCAAGCTCCTCGGAATTGCAAAAACTGGTCGCCTTCGAAAACGCTTTTGATCGCATTTTCAATATAATAAAGCTCGAAGGCTCTCTTGTGGACGGCGATAGAATAGTGGAAGATTGCTTGATCCTTCTCGCGAACCTTTTACGACTCAACGTTTCGAATCAATCTTTCTTCCGCGAGACAGGCTGTGTTCCTAAACTATCAAAGCTATTGAGTGGTGCATTAGGTGCTGGGAGTGAAGTTGGGGAGGTTGCCGAATGGGCTAAAGCTCAGCGAAATAGAAACATATACGCTCTACTTGCGGTACTACGGCTATTTCTAATAACAGGAGGGGCAGGAACCCAAGCAAACCAGGCTTCTTTTGCGCAGCATGGTATTCTTAGTCAAGTATTGCAGTTAGCATTCAGTCGATATACGGAAGTTCAGATAAAAGCTGAGGTATGCAACCATTGCCCATATATCGGTTTGTGTATTGATTGCCAGGTATAGGCTCTCTCAACGTGCGCGGATATGATCCGAGGGAATCCAACCCTCCAAGAGAATTTCGCTCAACAACAAGTAACCTCGGTGCTTGATGAACCCTTAGCCGATAGTAATGGTCAACCTGAGCGCCATGTTATCCCAAAGGTCTACGTAATTGATGGCTTGCTTGATTTGACACTGAGTATACCTACGTTGTCAGCTTTCGATTCCCGCGCTGCTGCTTGTGAATGTATAAAAGCTTATTTTTACAACCACCCAGCCATCCGCAAACATTTTCTTCGCCGAGCCATAGATGGTCATGTTTCTGGGGCCGATGAGACAGCGAACGTGTTGACGACACTTCTTCAGCCTCTGGACAGTCATATATCAAGCGATCCGTACCGTTATTGGTTTGCCTCTGTTCTTCTGTTCCATTTAATATTCGAAGATGCTGAGGCGAAAAGTATGGCGATGGGCGTCGCCGAGGGTGATGCTGAAAATGGGGAGGAGGTGATAACTTGTATTCAATCTATCACTGCCAATTTAGTACTTGGTGTTCACAAGGCTGTGGACGAACGCGTCTTGGTCGCTTATCTCATGCTTCTTTGTGGGTGGCTATTTGAGGACCCAGATGCTGTAAATGACTTCCTGGGCGAGGGTAGCAATATCCAAAGCCTGATCCAAGCCACGCTACATACGGGCGGTGATGGTGTAATGGTACAAGGCCTCTGTGCTGTCTTACTTGGAATTGTATATGAGTTCTCCACCAGAGATTCTCCAGTTCCCCGAGCAACCATCCATCCAATCCTTAACTCGAAGCTAGGCAGAGATCAATATATAGATCGACTTACCAAGCTAAGAGCCCACCCACTGCTGCGAGATTTCGAAGTTCTTCCCCAGAAGCTCAGCTCTGCTCCGCCTGGTGGCCTACCTGATGTGTTTTTCGACAAATCATTTGTGGACTTCATGAAAGACAATTTTAGTCGCTTATTACGTGCCATCGACCGAGATCCTGGGTTCGAGGTTGCAGTTGTCGCCAATGGCGTCCAAAAGGGAATTTCCAGAGAGATGGTAGACACTTTGAGATCTGAGCTTGATGAGAAGAGCAAAGCTCTGCTGAAGGCGGAAGAAGAGTTGGTAATTCTTGGGGGGCAGCTAGGACAGGAACAAGCCGATCATCGTAGAGCCAAAGAGACCGCGCTAGTAGAGGTTTCAAGGATTAAAAACGTCAATGAGGCCCTTCAGCAGCACCATGAAGAAGATATGAGGTACGTGTAACTCTGTCTAGTTGTATTTCTAGGGCTAACGGTCAGAAGAAAGTTACGTACAGAGCATGATCGGGCAAATCAAGATTATCAGCGACAGTTAAAAGAAGTCCAAAAAGCAGCCGAAACTAATATTGAACTTGTTCGAGCGGAAAATGATCGTACAAGACAAGATCTTCAACGGCGACTAGAACAAGCTCAGAAGACAGCGGAAGCTAATGCTGAACGTGTACGGACTGAACATGATCGGGCAGTTCAAGATTATCAAAGACAACTTGAACATGTTCAAAAGACGGCGGAGGCTAATGCTGAACGTGTGCAGCGACGAACAGATGCAGAAATCACTGATCTTCAGAGTAAAATTGAGCGATTAGAAGCAGATCTTGCCATGGTATGTTATCACATATGTTATCATTATTTCTCACTGACATTGTATAGTCAAACAAGAACCATGTCCAGGATCTGCAAATTGCGCACGATGAATACATGGCAAATAAGGCTGACCAAGATACACGCTTCAAACGTGCGGAAGAGAAAGCTAAAGAATTGGAGCAGAAAGCCAGCACCGCGCACGACGAAGTCGCTAAGCTGGAAGCGGATTTGGTGAACAAGGAGACTGCAAGACAGGCTGCTCAAAGTGAACTTGATGACCTACTCATGGTTTTTGGCGACCTAGAGGAGAAAGTGACAAAGTATAAAGAACGTTTAAAGGCCCTCGGGGAGAACGTCTCGGATGATGAGGATGATGGTGACGACGACGGGGACGGCGACGAAGCAGAAGATGAGTCTGGTGTGGATTGAATAAAGAATATACTTTTCCACCTTCAAGGGACAGCATGCATTGCAAAAGCGTAAATATACCAATCTCACATCAAATTCGGCCGACCTTTTGGTATTTGGGGGCTTGAAAGACTAGAAATATAATGATCTTTTGTAGGATAGGAGAAATAACCTTAAACCATCGGCCATTTCTTGAAACAATTCCACGAACAACTTTGATTTCTTGTTGTAGCAGAATTTCTGAGTATCTGTCATCCGTTGAATGGCACAGTGTTTACAAGATGCTCTCCAACACAGGGAGATTCGTGCCTATTAATGTACCATGTAGGATGAGAATAATTCTGTCCGCACAGAGAAAGCGCCTGCAATCAGATTTCATCTTGTGTTAATGTGTAAATTGTTTTACTGTCAAAACATGTGATTTTTGAAACTTTCTAGTATGACTTGCCTTTGGGCGTGTTTAGAAGTAAATTAAGTGATGTACAGTGTCTAATAGTGTCTTTGTTTTGCTTTCATACGGGCGCGAACACGCTAAGGGTTGTTCAGGACCATTGAAAAAGAGGGGTCACCAAAAGTTACTTTACGCGTTCGAAATTACAAGCACCGCGAAACCCCACAATCCCACCCATCACATCCACATCCACATCCAGAGGTCGCCAGGATGTTGAGCTCTCCATCCTCATTTTACACAGCTTTGGATGCGCCGTCCTCATCCTGTGCACCCTCAATGGCAGATAGTACAAATGGAAGTAAACATCTTTTACAGAATCTACATTATCTCCAATCAGATCAAATTTCTAATGAAATCGAGAGCCATGTCACAGTATATTTCGATGTTCAGATGTGTATGTATTTTTGTCCCTCATATGATCTATGTTCAAAGACTAATTGCATATTTATTAGACAGCCATGCCCTCACCATGCTTTTAGACATCCTCACTTCTGGCATATCACATTCAACCGTAACCTCAAAGACTGCCTGTCTGCCAATTCCCAAGTACCTACAAATAGCCAGTACCTTGCTTGTACATCCAAGCTCTACAACTCGAGTCAAGAATGAGAATTTGGTCGAGGTAGCCTCCCGTTCTATCACTCTTCTGCGTAGTGTCCTTGCCGAAGTTGGTCCAAGGAATGCCAATCTTGAGAAGGCATTTTCCTTTGAATCAGGCAGCAGATACACCAGACGGAGTTCTCGAGATAGTGGCTCCAACAGTGAAGATGACGACGATATAAAAGGACCAGTATCCAAAAATGGGCTGTGGAGATGCGCTAAGGACTTTTGGCAGATCGTGGGCTGGTCATTTAACTGCAGCGTTAGGTATCCGAAGCGGTGGAGATACTGGAAGGTTCTTTTGGAATATCTGTTAGATGTGCTAGATGCAGATTGGTACGAACGGAAGGCTCTGGATGATGCAGCATTCAACGCTAAAGTTGACCAAAACCAAGGGCCTGCAGAGCTCTCTCCTGGTAATGAATCAGTGCAAGATTCGTTACTAGTGCAATACCTAGGAGGCTCCGGCAATAATCTCAATGGCACTGCCGTGAGACGGATTGTTAAGGCAGCCTTTGCAGACGGTTCTGTGCAATCCCTGAAAGCATATCCGGAGATTTTTGAGAACGAGACCAAAGACATTAGGAAAACCCTGGCGCAAAAGAGGAAATGGGATGAAAGTAAAAATGTCAAGGAAATCTCAGATGATTACGATGATGAGGAAGAAGAAGATCTCGCTTCCGATACATCAGAGGATTCCGAGGAATCGTCTCAAAGGCCAAGTAAGAAAGGAATTCCAACATACTCTTCTACTATAGGAGACCCGGACTCCATCCGCTTGCGCCAGCGAGTCATAACTTTGGTAAACGGAATCCTCCTGTTTTCAACGTCCCCACGCTAATTTTGCAGCTATCCCGCCTATCCGTGTTTCTCCCGCTAAAGTTCATGCCCGTCGGCGATGTTTACGGTCTCTTCGCAGAGTTCACCGCAGCGCTTCCTATCGCATCATTTTCACTTCTCCTCAATATCTCACGAACATCACCATTTCCTTCCGAGATACTGGTCTCCCTCATACAACGGTTATGCCGCACCTATCTTCCTAAATCTACACCCAATCCTAGCGACTTTGAGGATTCTACAAATGATCTTCTCAACCAAGAAATTCTCGAAACATGTTTTCTACCATGGTGTCCTATGACTTCATCTGTTGAGGATAATGCCAAATATTCAATTTTGGTGGAATATTTGTTTCGCCTGTTTTTGACTGGTTGTGAAGCAAGTCATACACCCAATTTAGACGATGTGGTTGAAAGGGGAATTAGCGCAAGGGAGAAGAAATGCAAGACGGATGGTAGGCGTAAAGCAGGTGCAATCAAGAAGGAGGAGGAAGTTGCGAAAATCTTTCTAGATGCAAGTTCAAGGAGATTGAGAAGTTTAGTAGATTGGGTGCAAGAATGTAGTTCCCAACAGGGATATTAATATCATACGGGAGTCAGGGCCGGAAGCACTGGATTGGGTTTTATGATGGTAAGCAGTCCACTGTTTTTTGGAGTTATTCAATGATACCCTTTGCTGTCGAGAAGCCTGTTAAGGGGAAATGTAAATCAATTTCAATACATACATACGGTAGCTCATCAGTTCCAAAGTTAGTATATGGCGCTCTAAGCAGTATTACTCGTCACAGAACTGCCCAGCCAATGGGAGTAATACTTGCATTGTTCATAAAACAAGAGACAATAGAAAGTGAGCGAGATTGGCTTCCGCTTGATGGAGAGCGTCAAAATTACTATAACATTAATAGATTATCTCCGAGATAGTGGCATGTCATTCGGATCCCAAGCCTTAGGTTGCCATTCTTCACTTGGTCCTCCTCTTGCCTTTTTCCAGGGATCTTCCTGATATTTCTTTTCCTCCCTCGGTAGGGTCTCCCCGTCATGCAATGTTTTACTCCCAGCTGGCTTCTTCGCAAAAACTGCTCTCTCTTTCTCCACATGCTCTCCTCCCACAGCATTCGCTACACCTTTCCCATCTTCCCTTGGTTCCACCACCGAAAACGCTCCTCCATCCCTAACCTGCGTAGCCAGCGACGCCTGTTGTGCTGCAGGTTTATCCAAAAAACTGGCCTTCGCATTCCATCTCTCATCCGCCTGTCTAGCGAGAATCTTCAGTCGTTCCTGCCTCGCTACATCCCCGAGTAATTCTTCTATACTTGGCGCATCAGCCCGTGTGTGTCTTAGCCATTGATGCCATTGCGGACTAATCCTGACATCTGAATATTGGGTTAAAGGTGGCGCTTGAACTATTCTGCGCATGCGGCCGGCATTTATAGCGTCACGAAATTCCCAGAAAGAATTGCTTTGAAGGTCAAGACCTGAGAATGTTAGTTGAACTGTATGCCAGAAAAGGGGGAGTGTAGTGGCGATGTTGGGAAAGTGTTGACGAACCGACAAAGAAACGTTTTCGCCATGGGAAACGGAGGGATTTCCATCTATACCATGCTTTACGAATTGGTGATAGTTGTTGCGTAGACATTCCAATTGTGGTATTTTATATTGACTTGAGGTTAAGATGGATTTGTTTACTGAACTTGAGATGATGTATTGAACTTCTTCAGCCTTATGGGAATCGTAGCCCGACGTTTAACCGCTGCCAATGAAAAGTCCCTCAAAACAAAATATCCCACCATCTACTCGAGTATGAGATTTATTAGCCCGTGGCGGCGACTAAATTTGTCTTATCGTCGCGCGCCACACTTCTTATCCGACGCCACATCTCTTATCTGGCAATCGTTTTAAGTGCTATTGTCGTACCCAGGTATGATCAGATTTTTGATCTTCTACATTCTCAGACCATAACCCCCACCACTAGACGTAAATATACTTCATCGTCGAATATCCTGAAATCTTGAGCTCAATCATGTATACTGCATAGCATGTATATTGGCACTCATGTCCTACTCAATCCATCAATAGCTTACACAACGAACATTTGCACCCGGAAAGGCTTCACTATCTCAACCTGTCACCACGGGCATTTTGAGCACAATATCTTCCATTGAACGGTCGGAAGGAAGTGGAGGGAGCAGTGCAAATCGAAGCTTATTGAGTCTTCATACTCGACTATTAAGAGACCATGCATTTCAAATCCTCCATCATTGACGTTTGGCTTCAGATGCGACAGATGTGTAGCTGACGCTGTTTTCAGAATTTCGCTCGCACCTCGTACCTGCAAGTCACAATCCGCTTTAATGATTAGTGATGTACTCAGACCTTCGAAGCTTTAAGGTCTTCGGACAAAACTCTTCGGACAGAACTGTTCCCAACTTCTATGGCCGTGAACTCCGTCAAAAACTGATTTCTCCGGTAGTGCTTCAATGACGTTGCATACGTATTTCGACATTAACGATCAACACTGATATTCCTGAATTGAATTATCAAATCATACAATTTCGACATCCCCGATCATTCTATCAGCGGAACGGAGATAAATTTTAATCTGTTCGACTGTAGAACTGTAACAGTGTAACGTGGTAATGAATGGAACATTTCGGAGTAAAATATGCTGTCGTCGACATGCAGCTAAAAATAGGCGTTCCAGACTGAATCGTCCGGAACTTATCTTGCGGAATCCCAGTGAGGATGAATCCAGAACATTACCGTATCAGGCTACGGAGACCGACGAATGCTTTCCCTTGGGCACTTCTAAATCCGAAGGTCTCGCGTGGGAAATGATTTGAGTAGTAAAGCAGAACAGAGGGGTAGATTACCGAATCTATCTTCTAATTGCCTTGGGAATCAATCTTTGCTTCAGGATGTACAGAGCAGGAAAATGGAGGACTCGCTTTTTGTGGAAAGAAATGCAGAAATACAAATCGAAAATGAATGCTCAAATGGCTGAACCTGATGTTTGGTTCATATCAGGACAGTGAGGTTCGAAAAAGTACCAAAGGAGATTTGGTGATAGGGAGATAGAAAATTGCTTTGAATGATCTCACAATATTTAAACATATTTGGAATCATCTCTGTAAAAAAAATTAACGGTGTGGTACATATGTAGATATGTACCCGGGCTAGTCTTTGAAAAGAGCTGAGGGCTTAATGAAATATATTTATATATCAAAAATCATCTATTTTCAAAAAATTTATAAATTCAATAAATAATTATATATACTTTAAATTTCCAAAATATAATAATTTATTAATTTTTCATTTTCAAACATTAAAATATATTTTGAAAATCTAAAATATATTAAAAATCAAAATCTTAAAATATTATAATTTTGATTCAACAATTTTTAATAATACAAAATTGTTAATTGAATAAATATTAATATATGTTTTCAATATCAAATCAAAATCTTTGAAGAATTAAATTAATTATACTTTTTCAAAAGATCGATTGTTTGATGATCAAAATATGAAAGCTTGGGCCCGTTCCTCTTCAAAGACTAGCCCGAGTAATCAGTGCTACATTAATGCACTGTACACGCTTTTCCTCATGCTGTGTAGCCCAAACTTTCACGGCGATGCCGGTGAGAACCATAATTGGGAATCATGAATCATCACGTTACCTCCGTGTATTTAGCGTTTTTGGTTTTACACGATATGGTGAGCCGTAGTTATGCGATGCAAAATGAAATGCTTAGAACCGATTGGGGCATAATTCATTGATGCGGTACAATGCTGCTGGACCCTGCATACGGAATTTTTTTCGCTCATTCCGAAAGTCAAGGGTTGTTCAAGGCTCAGTGGACGAAGAGGTTACAACAAACACGGTGGCTGTGCAACGTGCATAGAAAGATCCCCACACGAAAACTTGGGAAATGCTGGATCAGCAGCATTGATCTTTCCCAGATCGATTTATGATCCTCAACACGCGGGCGGAGACTAGCGTTTTTGCGGGGAAGCTGTGGCTGTCACTCTCTCATTTGTCCATTTGCTATCATCGCTATCCTTTTGCCAGTGGAGGTAGGTCAGCTTCTCATGGATGCTGTATCTGATTTCCACGTTTTTGCGGTTTGCAAAAGTGCCTGCATTAGCATGAAAAATGCCTGAATAGCAAAATGTGCCTACGAAGTAGATGGATGTCCTCATAGTACCAGACTTTGCCAAGCCGTCACTCGTTCTCCCTTCAAAATCTGAACAACGAGCTTCGTCTAATGATAACCTCCTTGGGCTACGAGTTCTTAGGCGCCAGTCCACTAACAGTTAGGTCATGTACTCCGGCTTAGCAATATTCCAACTGCCATGTTCTTCTTCTCCGAGGACATGCGGACTTAAGCCGGCAACATGTCTGAAATTTCGAAATCAACCCAGCTAACTTCACTCGGCTATCGTAAGTACCGTACCATGTGTCTATCATCCGATTTCTTGTATCATAGAAAGATTGGCATCGAGGCCATATGAGTCAGCTAGGTTGAGCAAAGCTGACGTGGTTCATGACTCCTTGGCGGAAACTGAGTAACCAAAGCTCTCCCAAGATGAGTCCTCTTCTGAATCGCAATTAGTAAATCTACGAAGATAACGTTGACACCTTGACAAATTGTGATCCGTGGGAACAATTTCAGACTACGTGGGAAACCTTTTGAAATGACAAGTTGCACTTTTGTGATCGGAGTTACGGGTATGCGGGGAAGGATCCATAAAAGTGGCATCGACGATATGAAAATAGAATCGTTACGAGTTCGCTCTTGAAGACTTGATCTACTAGCCATTACAAAGACCAAGCGCGGGGCGGAGGACAAATAAATTTTCACGTGGGTCATGATCAAATGATCAAGCCAGTCATAGCTATCTAGGTAGTAGTACATGGTCGAGTGCCGTATCAACAAGTTCAAAAGGATGAGAAGACTTTACGCCGTAGGCCTTCAGTAGGTCCCTCAGCCACTTATTTTCATTGGCAAGTGCTTTAGAGAGATTAGCGTACAGTCAGGCAGCGTTTCCGCTTATCTGGCCATCAATCCAGATTGTTTTATTTGCATCGTGCCTTCAAAGCAGTAATCAATTGACAATATAATGTCACTAGGAGGAAAAATGGGGAAGTTTGATGTTCATGGAAATCTGCATGGGATTTTTATCGAGATCTCCTTCAAGAATGGTAAAGAGCCCGTTCTGCGTGGGGCAGACTAACCGGCGTAAGCAGTAGTCCAGGAATAGTGATCCCAAGAGAGTAACGGGATCCCCACTTAGACATTCTACAGTCTACTTCAAGGCTACAAGGTAAATCCGAGAAGATGAGAATGCTGGTATGGCTGACTAGGTAGTGTCAAATGGGGAATCGACATGGGCATTATGGAGATGGATCCGTGTACCTCAGGAGTCAGTACATACAGTACGGATACCGTATTGCCGGTCGGAACCCTCCTAAGATCATGAAAGGAGAAATACGGAAGTGGCTGAACAATTTGTATTTCCCGCGGTCTTCTCTTCTGCTTGTGGAAGGTGTTAATGGGAAAAAGTAAGTAAGTCTTAGGATCTAGATAGGAGCGACGGTATTCCCGAGAGAAGATTGACAGTCAGCACCTTATGTGACAAATGGGGAATAGTTATTTTACAAGGATAGAAGTCGTAAATAAACTTCTTGTGCTTCTTGTGGCTGTGTTCTGGAGAAATGGAACATCCGAGAACGGGCGTAGATAATCCTTGGTGGTTTCTTTGTTTAAAAATGTTGAGGTGAGATTCGGGTAGCCTTACAAATCCATTTTTGCATTTTTTTCACATTTGGGTGGGTGATGTGGCTCGTACTAGAATTTGTGGCTTGTTACCAAGAGGAGTACGGAAACCCATAATAATCTGCCAAATACCGAGTTCCCGACATTCATTCATCGATTATTAATAATTCTTTTTGTTCGTTAGCTTTCTTTTATTTGATTCTCTTTTTCCTGATGATCATCCCTGCTCATGGTGCGTCATTATCGCTGCATGGACCCTTGCATCCCCGACTCGAAAAAAGGGAAAGCCATCGTCCACATCTTTTTCTTTTCCTGCCAAACCTTTGGTCGGTCGCGTCCTGGTCGCAAGCCCTACTCGAGTACCTAATGCCAAAAGAGATAGAGAGAAAAATCTTCTAATGCTTGAATCAAAAGATCCCTGCGTAAGGGTAGGAGGGGCCGATCGATATCGTCACTCCATATAAAAAAAACCTAAAGGTGTGATGATGAAGATATCGACCTATTGAATATATATCTATCTATCTCTGGAAAGAAGCCTCATATTGCATCCTTCACTTTGCACACAGACTACTTTCCTATTACAATCATAAACCTGTAGATCTTCTACTTTTCTTGATCTTGGGTCTTTTCAAGTCTTTTCATCAATTATAGCCATCAATCATCTCAGTCATCATTTCAAGATAAAAACTTTATATTAAGTTTAAGTTTCACTAGTCATCATTTACTATTCCATCTTCAAAAACCACACCATTATCATAACTCAAGGGTTTTCCCCCCAGATATAAATCCGAGATCCCAAGGAACACAAATCCCAAGATACCAAAAATACGAAAATACCCAAACACAGATACTCACCCGGCATTTGACTGAAAGAAATAATCCAATCTGCTGACCGAATGATCTGATTCCTACATCCGACAATTTATAAGTATTAAAAAACTATTCTACATCATTCCAAAAGATACTACCAAGGACTTCCCTCCCTACTTACTCCTAAAAGGTACCTCCTTCATTCTTCCCTCTTCCCTCTTCCCTCATCCTTCTTCCTTCTTCCCTCTTTTCCCGAGTACGACTCACATACAAGAAACCGAGGTAAAGGTTTTTTCCCCATACATTATTAACCTTGAATATTCGCCACCCTACTTTAAGTTTTAAACTCTTTTTACTAAAAGCTTTCAACAGATCTCCAAAGCTATCCCACTATGCTAGCTTACAGTCCAGAATCGAGACGCCAAACAAGTCTATTACAACATCATTCACATCAACCATCTTATAATCCCGACGGATCCTTATCGTCTTCTTCTACTAGTCAACAACTTCAACAATCCCAAACTTCATCGCAACCTCAGTCTTGGATTCCATCATCACTACCACTTACATCACAATCAACATTTCCCACAAACGGTCTTTCAAATAACATCAACTTCAACTTCGACGCCGATCAGATTCTCTTCGACTTCCAACCACAACGGTACTCGTCAAGTCAACAAGTTCCGTCACGAACTTTTATGCAACCCATACAGTCGAATAGCAGCTGGATGTCGAACGGACAATTAACACCTACATCCACCTCAAGACGACATCGTCATCGAGAATCTTCGTTATCGTCGTTAGGATCACCAGCTGCTCCTGCATCACCTTACGCACCGTCAACATCGAATCCTCAAGTAGTAGGCGATTCGTATCATGAGTTTCAGGACTATCATCCCACCGCGCCGAAACCCTTGACACCTGCACATACACCGTTACAGGAGAACTTCCTCTCACCTCAATATACAAATTTTTATCAAAACCAGAATAACCTAGGCTTCACGATGCTCAACAACGATTCATTACCAAGATTAGCCGGTGGCAGTAATGAGCTGATCTCGGCGCCTGAGTTTCACAGCCAAGGGTCGAGTAGGCCATCAGTAACTACAGCGGCGAGTAATGAGTCACCTTCGACGCCACCATCCTTTGAAGATGAAAGGCAACCGTCTGGTATGACTTCTAGCGTGGACTCCTGGTTGAACGAATACTTACTTCTATCCGATCCCAAAGCTCATAGAACTTCCTCACATCAGATGCCCAAACTCGATCGCACCATGACGGACGCTTATAATGATGAGCTGTTTAATCCCAGCTATCCCGTGATTTCAGCACCTTCCCCAGCTCCTGCCTCGACTCGAACATCTGCGACTCCAAACAACGACGTTTTCACGCAAAGATTAAAGGCCGCAAACCATCAGCACTTGAATGCAAACAAGCATGAAGCGTCGAATTTGTCTCCTCGCGAAAGATCACCTTTCCAACCGAACTCTCCATTGGCCCCTTCTGCAGCATCTTTCAACACACACAATATGGGATTCGCAACAGCAACGCGCATGCGAGAACAACAAAAAGCGAAAGATGATGCGTTGGCTATGCAAGAGCAGTACCAGAGGACTAATCCAGAACAAGTTACACCAAAGACAATCTCCCCAAAGGATGTGGATTTGGTCTATCAGGAAAGCGACGAGGATGCAAATAATCCATTGTTTCCACCGCCACAGCATAAGCAATCACCAGTGACTTACCGTCAGCAGTCAACGATTGTTCAAGAGCCATCTGAGCCGGAAGATATGTCATTATCGCAACAAAGCTATGGTAGTATGGCTACAACGCGACGAGAAAGTTCGTCGACATATTCTACAAGCTCGCAAACCACGCCAAAACAAGGACAATTTAATTTCGCAACCCCCACAAGTCCAGCCAGTGTCCGACAATTACCTCAACATTATCCCTTCATTCCCTCATCGCATCGTCAGACGAGTAGTATGTCGAACATGTCAAATGTGTCAAATGACTTTCCTGCGACTTTAACATCTATGGAGTCGAGCAGTGACGATTACTCAGCAGAACCAGAAATTCGAAGACCATCAAATACATCAGCGGACAGTGGAACATACACATGTACGTATCACGGATGTACATTACGGTTCGAGACACCAGCCAAACTTCAAAAACATAAAAGGGAAGGACATCGGAATTCGACATCAGTGATCAACATGGGTGGGGAAAATCGCGGTGGTATGACATCATTGGCGCAAAAGCTCAACAGTCAAAGCGGGCCTCACAGGTGCGAACGGATAAACCCTTCAACGGGTAAACCTTGCAACACGGTATTCTCTCGACCATATGATCTTACACGACATGAAGATACCATTCACAATTCATCCAAGCAAAAGTTACGATGCAAATATTGTACCGAGGAAAAGACATTTAGTCGGAATGATGCGCTCACTCGACATTTGAGAGTGGTACATCCAGAAGTTCCCGTGAGCACTGGAAAGGGAAGAAGAAGAGGAATGGGACTTGGCAATATGGATTGAAATTCCAACACGCGAGTGGATGGCATGCATCAATACTCATTTTATCGGGGAAAATGGGTTCAGGGGAATGTAATGGAGATGATCAGCTTTTATTAATTAATTTTTATGAGGGACGATTGATTGAAAATTATCAATTGTATCTCATATTAATTTGAAAGCGTTTATTTATCTATCCATTCATTCAATGCTCCCTGCTTCCCTTCCTCCTTTCTCATCCATCACTCATTACTCGTCATCCCATTATTCGTCATTTTAAAGCATCTACCTCAAAATGGATGATTTATCATTAGCATGGGGTGGTACAGTAACGTAAGTGAAGAATGGTATGAGAAGTGAACAGAAGAGAAGGTTGAAGATAGATCGTCGGTCGATTCCGTCACACAGTCAATCAATCAACAAATCACACTATCCAATCAAATCAATTGATTTGTGGGCCCAAGCAAAGCGAAGCACCACTCGTCCATCACTCCACTTTATTGGGTTTTACTCTCTCCACTGTCTCCACTCTCCACTCTCCACTCTCCACTACCCCTCCAGGTTAATGGGGTGTTTATGATTGGACCGATTAATACTTGGTACATTATCGTCCGTCTGTCAAGGCCGTTTTTTCGGTATTCAAGGGAGCTCAGTCCGGTTTATCCGACTTTCCGACCAAAAAAGTCAAGAATTTCAGGTTCCATGTTCATGCTCCAGGTTCCATGATCCTTCTCTTTATCGATGAACCCGTTTTCATCATCTCATGCGAACTAATGATGCACAAAGGGTTTTTCGTCTCCGCATAATTGTGGGTACTGTACTGGGAGCTGCACACTCACTACCTACGTAGTCAATGTTCGGAAGCACGGACTAGCACAATTTATCCACTTGTCACATTTCGAGATGTGAACACAGCTCCGGGTTCATGAGACACAATCCCCTTTAATGACATCATCGATGCGAGGATGCTTGACAAGTTTACGGAGTACACACATTTTTACACACACACACACACACACACACACATATCGAAGAGTGTTACGCAAACACAACATGGAGTTATAATTATGCCTTTATGAAATGAAAAGCGTCATGACTCATTGGCTTTGGGGTTTTTCTGGGGTTTTGGGTTTTTTCAAAAGGAGTTAGGCCGCTTCGCTGCATCGTTTATGGAATTTTTTTGGGCGTCATTTTATGGCATTGTCATAATCAAGCATTGGGAATCAAGTGTTGGAAAAAGAAAATTGGTACGGAATTTATTTTTGGATTTTTCAGCGAGGTCTGGATTGGATGGCGGTGACATGGGATAATAAGGTCTGACTAACCAGTTGCTTGTCAATACTGTAGTTGTCAAAAACATTTCTTTTTTTGTTTGTCTACTTTTCCTCTTCTTCCCTCTTTCCTTCTCCTTGATGCCTCTCAGTGTGTCATTCACCAAATTGTCTCGCACTTGAAGTATCCCTTTGGGCTAGGAAGACTGAGTCGGCTCTGTACCATCATGCTATGTCTCTATCTGCTGTAATCATATCTCTTTTCCTTCCTTTCCTTTACTATCTATCTTTTCCATTTCTCTCTCGGAACAAAAACATTGTACAACGAATGCATGGATGATAGAACGGAATGGGAATGTATGATGAACACAACTAATTTCTCGTTTCATGAATTTAAATACTGTCATGATGGGGATGGGGATACAAAAAATACTTAGAATTTAGATGCATACATAACTTAAGTGCTCAATTAAGAAATAATTCAATACTATATTGCTATGAAAAGATTATTATCAATGTGAAGTTTGTGCAAAAATATTTTCGTTCTCTTTCGGGGTATTGGTCGTGAGGTTAGGCTTTTGCTCTATGGATTTTTAGTTGTTGCAATGGGCTTGGGTACGGGTATGGAAGAATGGTGAAATGATGAGAATATCTTATGGAATAATATCAGTGTAGTATTACAAAGTGACGATATTAAGATGATATACTGATATACACTTATTTATCTAAAACAAAATAACTTTAATATTGAGAAACTGATTGTCATGATTCACGGATTAGATTAGAGTAGTATTATTAATGTCGGTGATTTATATACTGATTACAAAAGGGGTGTGATTTAATCGTTGTTTTCAAAGGGCCTAATCGTTTACGAATAGAAACTTAGGATTTCTAGGATAAGTGTTCTAAGCAATTATATTAGAATAGAATAAGTGTTCTAATTAATCAATTGTAGTAGAATAAATCATTCTAGAGGATATTGTATTCTAAAATAGGAATTCCTAAAGGAAAGTTTCTGAGATAAATATTCCAGAAAAGGAAAGATTTCAGGATCAATTATATGATAAGAAGTTTTAGAAGTTTAGAAAGCTTTTAAAACTCTAAAAGCTTTTTGAAATTTTAAAGCTTTACAAAACTCTTTTTCATTTATTAGTATATAATCAGAATAGTTTTATAATTTAAAAATTTTGTATTTAAATTTAATTATCAATTAGTTTATTTATATTCTAATTGATTTAATAATGAATTCATTTTCAAATAAATAATCAATGATAAAAAATTTAATTTTCAATTATTAAAAACAAACCAATATTCTACCTACACTCTAATATATATTTAAATTTTAAATTTTCATTAGACTTTCTCGAAAAGCCAGGGGTCTGGGGGGCGCAGGCCTCTGGTAATTATATAAATCGAACTGAAACAAGATATAAGACTTGAGTAACGATCACCATATATAAAAGAATCACACAAGCAGATATAAAAAGTTCAAGAAGAATAACTTTCCTCATACATTTCAAGCAATTGCTATCTAATTTTCTTTTTCTAATATCTTTATAAAGCATATTACGGCATACACTCATCACTCATTGAATCACTGATAGAGATTAAGATGCCAGGAAGGTAGGCATCCAAACTCTTCCCATTTTAAGCGGTACTATCGCCCATAACAGCCGCCCTAGCATCAACATACAATGGTTGGATGCCTGTCCATTTTTGAAACTAGATAATATATTTTAGTAAAACCGTTCGGGATTATTTCCTTAGCAAACAAGTAAATGAGAAGGGAACAAACTAACCTGATACCATCCCTGTGCACTCAAAACCTCCAATCCAGGAATCGCAACCCAACCAGCATCTTCCGCCATTCTCATGAGTGGGGTTTGAGAGGGTTTGTATGCCATCTCCAACAAAGTTCTCTGTTTTCCCTCGTCCCTCCTCTCGTGCCTCAACAGGACGGCGAGGGTTTCTCGCATGTTGCTTTCGATCGGACGATCAGCAGGAATCGTGCTAATCGCAACGGCAGGAGGAGTAGTCAGTTCCGTGGCCGAAGTAGTACTTGGAAGCGGGATGATGTTGAAGGATGAAGGAAAATAATTTATCAGAGCGTCCAGTTTGGAAGGCGTGCGCGCAACCATGTAGATGGGGGAGTGGCCGAGAGAGTGGAGAGCGTAGATAGCAGCGCGAGCTGTACCTCCGGCGCCGATGACGAGAGCAGGGGAGGGGGAATCGACAGGCGATGCTGTATAAGATGCGGACATGAGGGAGTGAGTCATTCCAAGCCAGTCGGTGTTCTCACCAACGAGACGAGGTGGGTTGTCTGGCTTGGGGATGATGGTATTCACGGCGCCTATAACCTTGGCTGCATCGGTAACCGAGTCGAGAAGTGGTATGATGTCGAGTTTCAGCGGAATAGTAACAGATGCACCACCGAAATCTGGAGCGCGAATGACGGCTTGTACGTCAGCAACGCGATCAGTTTCCAGTCTAGAATATCGATGAGGCAATCCTGCCTGCTTGAAAAGAGTGTTGTGAAGCGCAGGTGATCGCGATTGGGAGACAGGAGTACCAAAAAGATAGAATGATTTTGGCTCTATTTCTCCAAGGGTCGACAAAGTTGATCTGATCTCGGCAGCAGAAAGCTGACCAGGCGCTGCTTTAAATGGCAATGATGGGTGCGAAACTGGTGTCATAAACCCATTTAGGACACGACTCAGTTTTCCTGCGACGCCCATATTTATGGCGATCAATGGGGTATCATGAGCTGCCGCCATCGTCTTCTTGAATTTTGCAAGAGCAAAGTTGTCTTCGATACTCTTGGCAGACCCAACAAGCTTGATGATATCTCCATACTGAAGGGCTCTATTATAATGTTGAAACCAACCACCGTTCTTCCACGATAAAGTTCCTTGAGGATCATGATGTGAAGCTATGGTTCTCGAGAATCCTTTGGCCTCGGTAACTTCCTGTAGAAGCTCATCAGGGAAAGCAATTTCCAAGTCGATATATTCGATACCCATCTTTACAGCAAGTTTATAAAGTTTCAGTGCCTCTTCATGTGCAGCGTCCGGGAAGCGACCTCCCTGACTAACTGTTCGCACGGTGAAAATTACAGGTAAATGAACCACTGATCTCAAATGTGCAATTTGTACACTCAAGAAATCAACGCCTGGAATCCCATTCGTAGAAGATGGATCCTCCAATAAATCAACCCGCACTTCCACGGCATCAGAACCTACAGCAACACTAGGTAATATATCAGCTGCTGCTGATATGTCCGGCATTGTAAGGGAAACGAAGAATGACTGTGGTTTGTTTCGCATCTCGTCAAAGTGTAAACTCTTTCCGGAAATGTGATGCAGGAACCTGGCGAAATCCTGTTCCGCAACAGAGAGTGCGCTGCCACCGCTGCCCTTGCTATGATATTGGAAATTACTGCATTCATTGAACCAAGGTTTGCGGCGAGAGTAGACTCCCATCATATCCTCAACATAAGCAGGTCGAGTCTTGTCTATGCGAAGATAGTCCATGACCTGCTCGGTGTCTCGATGAACCAAAAGTACAATTCCGCCAGATTTATGGAAATTGATCAAAAGTTCTCGTGCCTCGGGCATTTCAACAACTCCACCACCACAGGCGAACACATGCTTCTCTGACTGGTCAGTCAGACAGTGCTTTAGAAGATCCAATTCGGCGGCTCTGAAGAAATCCCAGCCCTTCGATCTAACCATATCAGGTATTGACATCCCCAAGACGCGCTCCAACTCTACATCAAGATCCTTGTAAGGTCGACCAAGAATTTTCGCAGCCCATGCACCAGCCGTAGTCTTTCCAGCTCCGCGCATACCGATAATGAAGATGGACTTATCTGGTAGCGCTGGGATTCCACTTTTTTTGCTGTGCGTGGCTTTGACTTCCTTGCCAGCAAGCTCTACTTGAAATGACTTAAAGAGGATATCCCACCATCCTGGCCAGGTCTTCCCAACACATTCGCGCTCTTCAATGAGAACTGGCTGGCTTGCAGCGACAGACAATACGCTGAAACTCATTGCTACGCGATGATCGTCGTAACAGTGAATGCCTTCAGCTGGGTGCTTCAAGTCTTTTATTGGTACACCATCAACCTCGATTCCATCTTCGAGTTCACGACATGTCACTCCAAATTTTGCAAGCTCATCCTTCATTGCTTTGATTCGATTGCATTCCTTAACACGCTGGTTGGCGATTCCTCTTATCCTAGTCGTGCCTTTTGCCACTGCACTTAATACGGAAGCAGTCAAGAAAGCATCTGTCATTGGTTCCATATCAACTTCCTCAATAGCTTGAAGTGATCCGATGGGAGGACCAGTCACGGTGGTGGAATAATCTGTCTGAACTACCTTACATCCCATTGGTTTTAAAACTTCGACCGCGAATCGAGCATCGCCTTGAATAGACTTGCATCCGATGTTTGGAATTGTGCAAGTACTTCCAGAGATGGCAGCTACAGCGAGTGGATAAGTCGCTGAGCTAGCGTCACTCTCGACTACATACTCTTCAGGGTTCTTGTAAACCCCTTGTGGAATATGGTAAGTGTGTTCTTCCGTCTGTGATCGGACGACGTGGATCCCGAAAGCTGCCATCATCGCTGTTGTCATATCAATGTAAAGTTGCGAAATGGGTTTCCCGCCAACAAGACGCAGGGTCACAGGATTCTTAGCGTAAGGAGCGCACATGAGAAGAGACGAGACATATTGAGATGATACGGTAGCGGCTAAATTGATGTCACCTCCAGTAAACCCACCGGAAGCAGCAACATTGAGCGGAAGGCTGTGCTCCTTCTCAAGGTATTCGATATCAACACCATTAGCACGTAGCGAGTCGACTAACGGACCAATAGGTCTAACTTTCATTCGTGCATTCCCTGTAAGAACGGTAGACTTTGTTGAGGCTGAAGGCTTGCACAGCGAAACCACAGTTGTAAGGAAACGAGATGCAGTACCTGCGTTTCCAATATAAAGTTCAGAAGGGCTGGCATGCAAGTCGCCACCTTTACCTTGAACACAGAGCACTTCACCCGCATCTTCCCATGCATATGTGGCACCACCAAGCTTACCAATTGAAGTAAGCATGAACTCTACATCATCCGAGTGAAGGAGGTTCTTGATGCGGCAAGGGCCAGTACCAAGAGCCGCAAGAACAAGAGCCCTGTTAGAGATACTCTTTGAGCCTGGTGGTGTGACCTCGACATTCAAAGTCTCGGGTACGCTAGGTGTGACCTCGACCGAGTCAGATAAGACGACTTTGATTGGTCGGTCCTCCACGACACTGGCCTTGGGTTCATATGTTTTACCAATGGCGGAAAGTAAAACAATCTTCTTTTTTCTTCCATCATTCTTCTTGTCGACCCCCATCTTTTCTAATAGTACGTCAACTGGGCATAGCTTCCCTGCCGTGAGCTTTTGAATGCGTTTGTCTGCAAGAGAGGTAGGTAGTCCATAACTGGCTATGCATTTGACGAGACGAGCGACGGCTCCTGGTTTCAAAACTCCCAAATGCCTAGCCAATTCTGCTTCCTTCACCATTCCAATAGCTACAGCTTCTCCGTGTAGCACTTGCGGTGTTAGAATTGCTTCAAATGCATGCCCAATTGAGTGACCGAAATTTAAAATATTCCGCAATCCACCTTCCCTCTCATCTGCAGACACAACATCCGCCTTGGTCTTCGCCGAGCCTAGTACTATTCTTTTCAATATATCTCGGATTGGGGCTAATCTTGTAGAGCAATCTGTATTCTTGGCTCGAATTGTCGTCATAATGAGATTCGCATTATCCTCGAGTGCGGAGAACTCTACCTCGTCCCAGATGGCGGCAGTTTTGATCACTTCTGCCATGCCATTGATGAATTCGCGCACAGGTAGGGTTTCTAGGAATCGCAAATCTATGTAAACTCTCTGTGGTTGCCAAAATGCACCAACCAAATTCTTTCCCAAAGGAGTGTCGATTGCCGTCTTTCCACCAATGGAGGAGTCGACCATGGCCAGCAATGTCGTTGGGACCTGTACGAATCGTACACCTCTCATAAAAGTTGCTGCAACATAGCCGATCATATCACCAATGACTCCTCCCCCCAAAGCAATTATGACCGAATCCCTTGTACATTGGTGCGACAACATCCAATCCTCAATCTCGGCTTTTGTTTCTCTACTCTTAGAATTCTCCCCTGGTGGTATTTCATAGGTAAGAAGTCGAGGTGTTGAACTCGATTTGGCAGCAAGTGCCTCGAAGGACTGTTGGAAAGCTGGGACGTAGAGGGGGGAGAGATTGGTGTCGGTGATGAGAATATAGGTAGATGAGGGGAGGTCTGTAAGCAAATCTTCTGCAACGAAATTGCGCCAGATATCGAAATCAACGATGATATCTTCTTTCCCTAAAATTTCAATCCGCGTAGGACTTTCAAAAGTTGTAGGTCCCATCTTGACTTGACCTGACTCAGCCTAGCGAGCTCGAGATGCTGTGAAGGATTCGTCTTCTCTTTCGTTTCTGAGTTGTGGTGGGATGATGAAGGGACAGTACTTATATATCTACCAATTGCCCATGGGATCAGCCAGACAATGGTACATCCACTTTATGATTGATCGCTTGTAGTAAGTAGAAACCGTGGGGAAGGTGTTGAAGAAGTTAGACTTTACACTTGCACTCGCTGAATTGAGTGACTCAATAAGTTGATCCGGATCCGAAACTTTTTTTGGTTGACAGGGATTTGGATAAAGAGCCAAGATCACAATGCAGGAAGTAATTGAGGAGGATAATTATTGGTTCTGTAATAAATAATACTACGTAGTTTCTGTAAAATAACTTTCCTTACTCTGAAGGGAAAATGCGACAATGAGGGGTGTGGAATTCATTTTCTCCTCTCCATCATAATCATGGTTTGGAAGTACAATAAATAATAGGTATCCCTTCATATCGCTCAATATAGAGTAAGTTGTTGACTTGTGAATTTACAATTACAGCCAAAATTAGATGAATTACTGATTGAGTAGAGGAAAAGAACAGAGGATAACATTTACCGTTTTGGGGGTTTGATTGTCACTTACTCTCATAATAAAACAACTATTACTAAGCACACCTCACTCAACAACTACCCAAGTAAGACTTACAAGTTAGCACATCTAGGACCACCACTCCGTATCTATCTTGGATCTTACTCTTCCAACATCTCCGAGGATAACTAGGGACGATTTGGAGACGACTTGGATGGTTTCCTCCGGTCCTTTAGCTCTTCTCCGAATGAAAGGCTGCTACTTCTTTTTTGGCCGTCATCAACCTCCGACGTGCCAGTGTCCGCCATCTAAAGATATTTAACAGCCTCTCATAATACGAATGGCTCGGGATAGTAGTTCTTACTCCGTCTTTGGAATCTTATTGCCAAAGTCTCTATATTCCGCTCGAATTAGTCAAGATTACTATTTCCATCTCTTAGCATCTCCTTTTTTCACTGTTGGATTTCAGGAACACTCCATTACCTCAAGGCTGTGTCTTCAAAACCGTTGCAACCCGTCCTATAAAATCTAACATTACAATGTGTTTCCCAAAATAATAAATTCCGAATCGGATTTTGTCAATTTACCGTGCTCTTACTTTCATTTCGACATCATAAAGCTTACTCGGTACAATGTTTAACCTAGACTGGGAAATTTGGTAGAAGGAAGTAAACTGTGTAGGTGGGTGAAATGCACAGCTGAACAAAAGGAAAAGATCTATATGGTTATATAAAATGGATCTGACCTTCCACGCCGAGTACTCTTCTTGTTCCAGCCCTCTCAAATGCGCCACAAGTTTCCTTTGGTACGTTGTCCTGGACCCCGACTATCAACATCCACTTCAGGTACAGAATTCCGCCGAAAGGAGACACTACTCTGGCGCTGGCAATCTCAAGTCTCATTGCCAGACCAACATCTGGACTCATGACCCAACTTCCATAACCATAGCCGGAAGAAATGGAGGCTAGTACAGAAATGGTATATAGCTTCCCTATAGACGTATGATATCAATAATTTACTGATATTATGATCTGTATAGAATTAAAATAAATATTTCAAATCTTGTTATATAGTAGCGATTTTTCTATTTATATTAAAGTAATATTGAAAAATCTTTTAATTTTTCATTCATTTTCATTTTCATTTTTCATTTTTCATTTTCATTTTTCATTTTCATTTTCATTTTCATTTTTCATTTTCATTTTTCATTTTCATTTTTCATTTTCATTTTTCATTTTTCATTTTCATTTTTTATTTTTATTTTATTTTTCAATTTCAATCTTTCAATCTTTCAATCTTTTAACTTTTGATTTTAATTTTATAAAATAATAAGTTATTTTTAATTTGAAAATATAAGTTTAATTATTTTATTTTGTTATTTAATATATAAAATAATAATAATAAAGTATCTTTAAAAATAAAATAAATAATTGATTTTCAAAATCAGAAAATTAATAAAAGAATTATAATTTAATTATCAACTTTGAAATTATTTATATTAATATCTTTATTTAATTCAACTTTATTTAATTTAAAATAATAATAAAAATAACAGAGGCCTGCGCCCGTTAGACCCCTGGCTTTTCTAAAAAAAATATATATAATAAAAATTTAAGTTTTGAAAATTTTATAATAAATTTAAATATTGAATATATATCAAAGTGCAGGTAGAATACTGACTTGTTTTTAATAATTGAAAATTAAATTTTTTTATTTAAAAATAATAATTATTATTATTTTGAATTGAATATAATGAATTGAATAAATAGAATTGAATTGAATGATTTTAGTAGAGTTGAATGATTTCAATAAAGTTAAATGATTTCATTAGAATTGAATGAATTGAATGATTTCAATTGAGTTGAGTTGAAAAAAGCTTTAAGTTAGATTTGTTTGAGGTTATAAGTGTTACGAGGGATGCGATCTAGATCACGTGGAAGTGGCCTGGATCCTCGAAGGGTTTATAACTAGGTGTCAAGTGAGGGCTTTAAATAATATTAATAATTGCAATTTGTAACTAATAATAAATTATACTAAATGATTGATTTTGAGTATAAAGCTTTTAAAAAAGGAATCCTTTTTTAGTTATATAAATCTTTGTATTAATCGGATTATAAGGATTTAATAAATCTAGAATATGATTTTCTAAATCTTTTAAATTTTATAATTCATTATATAATTACAATCAGATTATATATTTGAGTTTGTTGAAGATGAAGAGATTATATAAGATGATTATTATATAAATTTGTATATAAATTGTTTTTTTTTTTCGATAAAGTTTAAATTTATATAGATAGATTGATTATTATTTTGTAATATTATTCTTTTTTTAATTTAATATTTATTTCAAATTTTTATAATAGTTTTGTTTATTAATTTATAAGATTTTATAGAATAGATTTTTTTTTCTTTTATTATATTATTTATATAATCAAAGAAATATAAAGAATGAATTGAATTTGTGAAATTAATCGAATTTCAAGGAGATATTATATTTTCATATATTTATTATAAAGATAATTTTTATATTTGTATTGTTTTGAAAGAGAATTCTTTTTGATATAGTAAATGTATATATTGAGGGATTAAATATGATTTTATAGATCCTTTTGTTATAGATATGTATAATCTGATTTGGGAATAAGAGTATTTGAATAAAAAGAAAGAGAAGATAATTAATTTGATTATGTTTATTGTTTCTTATTTGGTATGATTATATAAATAATATAAGTTTTTTTAAGTTTGTGATAGTGAAATGATTTAATAAAGTTTAAAAACAATAAATAAATTGAAAGAGTTTAAAAGGAAAGAAAGTTTAGAAGGAATTGTTGAGAAAAAGAAAAGGGTTTTATTGTTTAATGTTTTCAATTCTAAAAACGATTTTTCTGTAGTATCTTTTTCTGATTTTTTCTTTTTCGATTCTTTGAGTTCTGATGATTCGATTTGAGCAACTTTGAGTATTGTTGATAGAATACTTTTAATTTTTTTGAACAATTGAGATCTTTTTTTAATTTCTAAGTGTTCTTTGAATATGAGAAATCTAATTATTTAATCAAATATTTGATTTTGTTTTTGATGTATTTATAATCTAATATTATTTCGATATTATATATAGTATTTGGATTAACTGATTTGATTTTTGTTATAAATATATTGAATGCTTTTGATAATACTGATTCGAGTAAGGATATACAAAATACTAAATGGATATTTATAATATATAATAGTTTTAATTTATAATTAATTAATTCAATTATTTTATTGATTTTGAATAATTTTAGTTTCTTATAATCTAGTTTATTGTTAAATCATTTTATTTATATATTTTTTTAAAGAAAATAAACTTTATTTTCTTCTTTAAATATAAATCTTAGATTATATAATAAATTATAATATATTATTGTTTGTAAAGTTATAAATTGTAAATTCAAAAAGAATTGTTTTTGTAGATTTTTGATTTCTTCAATATTCTTTATAATTTTGTTTATATTTTTATTTTGTAATAATTTTATTCAATATATTATTAAATAGAATTTAAAGTTAATATAAATTAATATAATTTTTATTGTTTCTGTTTCTGATGAATTATATACAAATTGAATTAAAGATAATAATTCAATTTAATTGTTTTGTTTGTAATTAATATAATATTGTAAGTAAACTTTCATTATTTAATTTAATCATTTTGTTTATTCATCTATTTGTAAATAAAAAGTTATCAATAACTTTCTTTTTATATTTAATAATATTATTAATATAATCCAAAATTTCAAAATAAACAATTTATCTCGATTCGAAATTATCTCTTTTGGTATACTATATATACTGATTATATTCTTTAGAAATATATATATCAAATTATCAATAAATTATATTCTACAAAATAATATCATATAAATATATTTGATTAATTTATTTGTTATTATTAAAATAATATCGTACTCTTTTTTTATAATTAATTCTTTGAAAAAAAGTAATTTAATTACAAAATCCTATATAATGAATTTCTATAATTCCAAAGATAGATCAAAGGTTTTGAATTGATTATATAGAATATATTTAACAATTTTATTTTATATATAAATATCATATTTCTCAATTATTCCTTCAATTATTATTTTCATTTTTGAGAAATATACTTTTCATTATAACTTTACAAATATTCTAATTATTCCTTAATATTTGTATATTAATAATTTGTATTATTTCTTAACAAAATCTTTTATTATTCTAATAAAAATATAAATCTTATTATAGAAATAAATTATTTCCTTTTTAATTATAAATTCTAATTTTAATTCTTTCAGGATTTGTTATATAATAATATTATTCTTATGATAAATTAATAATTATAATTTAATTATATTATTTAATAATTTGAAAATAATAATCAATTGTAATTTGTTATATATTAATATATCATTTTTCTATTTTAATATTATATATATTTCATAGATTTTATTTTGTAAATATTCTGATTTTCGATTAAAAATATCTATTTTAGTATTTTTGTTCTTTTTGATGTATAAAATTCTGAAATTATAGATTATTAAGATCTTCGATTATCTGATTTATTATCAATTTAATTCCTTTATTATAATAAAATAAATCAAGTTTTTATAATCTATATATACTTATATTATATATTTTGATTCTT